CAGTTAACAAATTCATATCACTAGCCTAGGGTAGTGGTCAATTATCAGGACTGATCAGTTTACAAAGTCATATCACTAGCCTAGGGTAGTGGTCAATTATCTGGAATGACCAGTTAACAAAGTCATATCACTAGCCTAGGGTAGTGGTCAATTTTTTTAGGAGTGATCAGTTAACAGAGACATATCACCAGCCTAGGGTAATAGTCAATTATCTGGAATGACCAGTTAACAAAGTCATATCACTAGCCTAGGGTAGTGGTCAACTATCTGGAATGTCCAGTTAACAAAGCCATATCACTAGCCTAGGGTAATAGTCAATTATCTGGAATGACCAGTTAACAAAGCCATATCACTAGCCTAGGGTAGTGGTCAATTATCTTGAATGACCAGTTAACAAAGTCATATCACTAGCCTAGGGTAGTGGTCAATTATCTGGAATAACCAGTTAACAAAATCATATCACTAGCCTAGGGTAGTAGTCAATTATCTGGAATGACCAGTTTACAAAGCCATATCACTAGTATAGGGTAGTATCGGATCATTCAACAATGTCATAACAATAGCCTATGGTAGTTACCAATTATGTGTAAGATCACTAGCCTAGGGTAGTTGTCATTTATGTGTCATATCACTAGCCTTGAATAGTTATCAGTTATGTGTCATATCACTAGCCTATGGTAGTTGTCATTTATGTGTCATATCACTAGCCTTGAATAGTTGTCAGTTATGTGTCATATCACTAGCCTATGGTAGTTGTCAGTTATGTGTCATATCACTAGCCTTGAATAGTTTTCAGTTATGTTTTATATCACTAGCATATGGTAGTTGTCAGTTATGTGTCATATCACTAACCTACGATAGTTGTCAGCTATGTGTCATAAAACAACAAAGTTATATCACTAGCCTAGGGTAGTTGTCAGTTATGTGTAATGTCACTAGCTCAGGGTAGTTTTTAGTTATGAGTCATTATAAAACAACAGATATATCACTAGCCTAAGGTAGTTGTCAGTAATGTGTCATATAACTAGCCTAGGGGAGTTGTCAGTAATTTGTCATATCACTACTCGAGTAGTTGTCAGTAGTGTGTCATATAATCATTATCCTGGTAGTTGTCCGTTACTTGTCATTATAAAACAACAAAGTTATATCACTAGCCTAGGGACAGTAGGGTAGTTATCAGTATTTTGTCATCACTAGCTTACGGTAGTTGTCAGTAGTGTGTTATATCACTAGCCTAGTGAATTTGTCACTTATTTCATATCACTGACTAGCCTAGAGTACTTTTCAGTTATGTGTCATATCACTACCCTTGAGTAGTTGTCAATTATAATTATGTGATATCACCATCCTAGGGTAGTTGTCAGTTATGTGTCATATCACTAGCTTTTTGTAGTTGTCAGTAACGTATCATTTCATCTCCTAAGGTAGTTGTCATTAATGTCTCATATCACTAGCCTATGGTAGTTGTCGTTAATGTCTCATATCACTAGCCTAGTGTAGTTGTCATTAATGTCTCGTATCACTAACTTAAGGTGGTTGTCATATATGGGTGATATCACTAGCCTAGGGTGGTTGTCAGTAATGTCTCATTAACTCTCTTTGTTAACTGGTCATTCCAGATATCTGACCACTACCCTAGGCTAGTGATATGACTTTGTTAACTGGTCATTCCAGATAATTGACCACTACCCTAGGCTAGTGATATGACTTTGTAAACTGATCACTCCTGATAATTGACCACTACCCTAGGCTAGTGACATGCCTTCGTTAACTGGTCATTCAAGATAATTGACCACTACCCTAGGCTAGTGATATGACTTTGTTAACTGGTCATTCCGGATAATTGACCACTACCCTAGGCTCGTGATATGACTTTGTTAACTGGTGATTCCAGATAATTGACCACTACCCTAGACTCGTGATATGACTTTGTTAACTGGTGATTCCAGATAATTGACCACTACCCTAGGCTAGTGACATGGCTTCGTTAACTGGTCATTCAAGATAATTGACCACTACCCTAGGCTAGTGATATGACTTTGTTAACTGGTCATTCAAGATAATTGACCACTACCCTAGGCTCGTGATATGACTTTGTTAACTGGTGATCCCAGATAATTGACCACTACCCTAGGATAGTGATATGACTTTGTTAACTGGTCATTCCAGATAATTGACCACTACCCTAGGCTAGTGATATGACTTTGTTAACTGGTCATTCCAGATAATTGACCATTACCCTAGGCTAGTGATATGACTTTGTTAACTGGTCATTCCAGATAATTGACCACTACCCTAGGCTAGTGATATGACTTTGTTAGCTGGTCATTCCAGATAATTGACTATTATGCTAGGCTAGTGGTATGACTTTGTTAACTGGTCATTCCAGATATCTGACCACTACCCTAGGCTAGTGATATGACTTTGTTAACTGGTCATTCCAGATAATTGACCACTACCCTAGGCTAGTGATATGACTTTGTAAACTGATCACTCCTGATAATTGAACACTACCCTAGGCTAGTAATATGGCTTTGTTAACTGGTCATTCAAGATAATTGACCACTACCCTAGGCTAGTGATATGAATTTGTTACTTGGTTATTCAAGATAAATGACCACTACCCTAGGCTAGTGATATGAGTTTGTAAACTTTGTAAACTGGTCATTCCAGATAACTGACCACTACCCTAGGCTATTGATAGGACTGTTGACTGATCACTCCTGATAACTGACCACTACCCTAGGCCATTGATATGACTGATGTCTGATGACTCATGCTTATTGACCACTAGCCTGGGCTATTGATATGACTTTGTAGGCTGATATGACAACCTAAATTTGTGTACCTTCAATTGCCGCTGTCTAAAACTATTACCAATCTCTCCAGTTTCTTTTTCAATTGATGAATATTATCAACCTATCCAGTCACTCAAAAGTGTTATAGTCAAATTAATACACAACACATAATAAGTAACTGGAAAGGTACAGCAATTGCTGAAACAAGAAATGTAGATAAATAAATACTCCTTGCACTTTAGTTTTTCATATTAACATGATTAAGTGGACAAGTGAAATTTATATATTTGATCTTAGGTTGAAATTTTTAAAAAAATGTCTAAATTCCCTTAGCAGAAAATTCCCTTACTCCTAGTTTTTACTTAGAACTAAACAAAAAGTAATCAGGTTGTTTTGAACATAATAAGAGCATATATATATATAAATTATTAATAAAGATACTTCCTTTATTCACAAATTTAAAAGGACAGAATAAACTTAAAGGGGTACATAACTGGACACTGTAAATGTTAACTAACAGAAAAGGTTTGTGGGGCATCCCCTGCTCAATTTGCACACCTCTTAGCAGATTTTTACGTCATTATGTCCAAGTTTTCAAGAAGACTATTTAAACCTGAAATAATTTTTACACTGATAAATTTTGATGTCACATTTGTAAGGCTACACTTATAAATATTTCAGTTAGCCCTTACCCTACCCAAAAGTACATTTTAGAGACAGTGGGTAGGTTGGTAGGCATCTTCTTTTTTCTCACAGCAAAGGGAAATTGAAGTGTCAGATGTGTTTTAGTCTTCATGCCTATCAGATTAAAAGAAAACTTTTTCACATCAGAACAATAAAAGAATTTGGGTAGGCAGCTATGTTTTGAGTACATGTAGGTAGGGTAAGGGCAAACAAACATATATTCCTTTGTATGGTCAATGCATTCCTTTAAAAATAAACAGAATGCAAGGATTACTACAAAAAATTTATAAAATCAGTTAAAGTTAATAACCAGATAGCATGTTTAAATGTTATGATAATCTTAGATGTCTGTAAAATTGTGTACTGATGTTTTTGTTCAATAATATGAAAGAACCCAGGTTTTTAGTTACATCTAAAGATGTCATAGTTTATATTTATGATAGCTTGGAAAATATATATTTATGGATCAATGGGTAATGATTTTCTTCTGAAATTTATATGAACAACGGGTATATATGTACAGATTCTTGCAAACAAAAATACATGTACAATAAATGTATATGAATTGGGTGTCTGGTTTACAACAACAGCCAGATGTCTGTACCAAACCCTGTAACTGTGTGCAAGATGAAACAAACACCCTAGCCCCACCTTCTTCGACCATATGTTAATGATGGGATCATAGCAGTAGTCCAGATAATTATGACCAAAAAAAATAAAATAGCCTTTCAAGACATCATAATTATTGGTCTAATCAGTAATTGAGTTAGGCTAAGGTTTGGTTTTACATTGGTTTATTCTGAGACATATATACAAGTGAATATGTGTCTCTCAAACACTGATTTAGGAGGTGAGCAGGGTGCATTGGACCCCCCTCTTGTAGGGAAAATTGGTGGATATATAGGGAATCACCCAGGCATGACTGGAGCATATATAGGGACTGGACTACAGATCAGATATATAGCCAATAAATCGTCTACAGTAGGGGCATACGTTTTTTTAAATGCATGTAGACGATTGACACGCTATAATGTATTACATATATTTGACCCGTAGTCAAGACTGAAGTCCCTATGCCATTGACTGGAGCAGCCCCACTCCCCCCCCCCCTTTCCTTATGAAAATTTGGATCTGTTACTGTCGCTGGTTTAATATAGCTCTTCTGTATGTTTTCATATGTAACACATAGGGTAGCCCTCGTATGCATTCGTTGCGTGTAACTCCCCCCTTTTAATAATCGTCTTTTGAGTGCCTAGATGCCGTGTTTGTGCACAATATCTAAAGCTGATTCAGTATTCAAAAATCTTATTTTGGTATCGTCTCTGTTCCAGTGATATATGCCCTACATCTTGGGAAATATCTAAGAACTTCTGAACATATTTTTGTTTTCCGCTTGCTGATAGTTCTGTGAAATTAGATAATCGCGCCAATGACGTGATCTCGTATCCCGCGTTGCTTCATAAAACTCATAAATATTCATACTACCCTAGGCTAGTGATACGTAGAGTCTACCGTAATTCCGCTCCCCTTTCATGTGATTTCCTAATTATATAATCTACATTAGATTTCCGGGTTTTTGGGAGCAAAACAACATACATTCACAGGTGAAACAATTTAAAATTACTAAGCGTAAGATTTTAAATTTTACGTAGATCGAGGGAATGAGTTCTGACATTCTGCAGTCAATTTAATCATGACGTCTTAAGGAGCTAGTCCAAATAATTTTAAATATGAGGAAGGTGTAGTCCAAATAATTATGACGTCTTGAAAGGCGGGTACATTGTAACACGAATGACCAAATAACACTTGTAATGACCGAATAACACTTGAAATTTTAATATTAGCACATATTGGTGACATTTAAACATTGATTATTAAATAATATTATATTATAAGTGTATACACCTTATCGCTATTTGTCCGCCATTACTTGACATCACACAAGTTCCCGTAAAATTTTGACGTCATAATAGAAAATATCTGACGCCACAATGGAAAAGTGATCGTTGTATGACGTCAAAAGTTCGAGCGGGACTGATTCACGGGTCAAGCGGGATTAGCGATAAGGTGTATTTTATAACTTGAAAATGATTTACAGAAAGCAGGTAAGTTCATAAAGATCATAATAGAAGGGGGGGGGGGGGGGGGGGGGGGGGTCGGAGGGGGTCCAATCCTGAAATCCTGAGTTTATTTTTGCTTAATCCCGATTTCCTGGGTCTTATTTGACAATATCCTGAAATCCCGATAAAATAACATGCTTTTTTGACAAAATACATTAATGAATGATTGTATACTGTTCAAAGCAATCAGTCAGTTTGTTGTGCAGATTTCCTGTATCTTATTAATATAATCTAGTGAGTCTAGTTTAAAACAAATGATATATGTGGAGACTGTGACATCTGGGACTATTATACTAACGGGACTGGAAACTGTTACACCAATCAGTGTAATAATATCAACATCACGGTCGTTAGAACGAGACTTTACCTGCGCTGTTTATCGATACGCCATATTGTTTTGACAGTGACAGCGTGCCTTGATCTTAAAATTTCGGTAATTTGTTTTGTTATTTTATAGTTATTCGAAATGATAATCCTTAATATAAACATGATTACTATAATGATAAAAGATCTTTGACAGTTGTTATTAATCACCAAATCCTGTCTTAAGTGTAAGTGTAAAAAATGACACATGAAGATTGAAATTTTCAGGATGAAATTAGCGTGGGGACGATGTGGAAAAAAGTATATGATTCATAAAATTTCTTATAACTGTTGATTGAAAAGAGATACGCAAGTTCGGTTTGTTGTAAAATCATATTTAAAGGTTATAGTTTGGATTTGCCTATTTTTATTGTCACTTTTTAAAATAAAAAGTGGAATATAAATCTCTTTCTCATTACAACCGGAACCCACATGCACGGCTCAAATAAATTATACTGTTCCTATAAAATTACCTACTTCTTTTTATGTGTGCAATATTTTGATTATAATCAGGGTTAATTTTGCTTAGTAATGGTCTTCTGGTGGCATTAGAATATGACTTTGTGAAAATATGTACACTAGGTTCCATAATTAGAACTACAAAAGTAGGCCCGTTCACAGCCATGTTGAAATTTTGGTGTAAACACGAAGTTCACAAAAGTTCAAAACAATGATGCTATATCTTTATGAGACCCCGGTAACTTTTGTTACAAAAAATGTATATGAATAAATTATGAACTGAAATTGTAAACATTGATTTTATTGCACACTTATTGTTTTTAGGATTAATCATGATCTGTTAACCTTTGACACATTGTTTTCTTAGCAGTCAAGTAAAGCGCTGGCATACCGACTATATCTGGTTTATTTTCAACACTAATATATTGACTACTTATTAATAATTTTTCGTAAACAATATATATATTTTGAATTTACACTAATTAATTTGATAATTATTTTTTTATTCAAATCCACCAATTTTAACAGTATTATATATATGCTGACTTGTTTGCCGAAATCTATTGTTTACATTCATGTACGGAATGCTAGTTTACACAATAAGCTGTCAATCAAAACAAAAAATCAGTAATCCGCTATCGGGGCAATGAAATCTCAACAGATCGATCAGTTTCCAGTCCCCTTAGTATAATAGTCCCAGGTGACATTCAAAAACTTAGAAGACACTGTCACAATGATTAAAATAAATCGGCTAGTTTGAATACTAATCTTATGCTGCAGTGCTGACGCGCCTTGTTTAATCCTGTTTTGTTTCTGTGTAATCGTGTCCTCGGGTTTACTATTTTTTAATCAAAAAGCGCTGCGAAAAAATTTAACGCAGGTACAACAGGAACAATCACAACACAGAACACCGAACATTAAGAAACATGGACCACTCAAACTCCTAAACAAAATAGAAGTAAACCCAGGTGCTCCGGAAGGGTAAGCAGTTTCTGCTCCACATGAAAACCCGGGAACATGGACAAACAAATATGAACAAATCAAAGAATACAGCAAACCATATACCCTGAAGAACACAAAACTCCTATCTTATATAACAAGGAATACATGATGATTCTCTAGATTTTTGTAAGCAGTCCCTGCTCCTTTAATGGCACTCGTCGTGATGTTTAACAAAGTCAATCCGAAAGTGGTATCAAACCAGTATGAGATATTATGAAAACAAGTCCGATATCATTTCAACACTGATTCTCTTACAGTAGTGAGTACCGGGGTAGTTTAATTTTCATAGCGATGAAAAGTTTGTTAAACGACATGATAATTTTAAGTTCTGTCCAGATCTCGACACCCCACGATTTACAATAAATCGGAGTTCCTTTGCAACTTCTGTGTTGTCATGATTATCGACAAAACCATTATCCTCCTCATCATCTCCATCCTCCGTTTCATCATCTGTATCATATTCTTCATCCACTCTCTGGTCATTTGAAACGTTCTCCTCCTTTTGCTGCCAATTGGACACAAGAGTGCTCCCCTTCATAGTTCTTATCCGAATACAAATTCAATGGCATAGTGGTTTCTTTTCGCACCGTCCTCTGTCTCACACATTTATTCTACGTTGGCTAGAGATATAGGGGAGGGTTGAGATCTCACAAAGTCACAAAACATGTTTAACCCTGCCGCATTTTTGCGCCTGTCCTAAGTCAGGAGCCTCTGGCCTTTTTTTAGTCTTGTACGTTTTTCAATTTAAGTTCATTTATATGTTTTCATCTGTTTTGGAGTTTAGCTTGACATCCATTTTCACTGAACTAGTACACATTTTTATTTAGGGGCCAGCTGAAGCCCGACTCCGGTTGCCGGGGATTTTCTCGCTGTCTTGAAGACCAATTGGTGACCTTGTGCTGGTTATCTGCTCTTTGGTCGGGTTGTTGTCTCTTTGACATATTCCCCATTTCCATTCTCAATTTTATTTCCGTTCTCCAACTTTAGTTTGCCTCAACCAAAGATCACCAAATGTTATGAAACATATGCTTATAATTACAATACAGTCTAAATAATGTGAATTCTGCATCTGTATGTGGAAGGTTACTCAAGTGTTTTTACAAGCGGGGGCATCTGTGGCCCATAGACACATTCTCCATTTAGTTTCCCATGATTTTGATTAATTCTAGCAGATTTTTTTTCTTGAATATATTCAGAATTAAATTATATTTTTTATGTGTAGGGACATACATGGACATAAAATTGATTTGAAAATTCCCAGTCCCAGTACCCCCTCTTGCTTATTAAATGTTTGATAATGGTAAGAGCTTTTATTTAGGCTGTTACCTAATAAAGAAGATGTATCATAATGTTGCAGCATTGTGCGCTCATTCTGCCACTGTTGCTGTGTGTTTATACTGAAGGTTTCGGTAGAGACACCAGCGTTTTTAGTCCGTCTGGCCAATTTCAATGTGAAACTGCCTCATCCCTTCTCTACGGCGGATTCTTTAATACCACAATAGCTTTCTATAAATTGTTTGAATGCTGTCAAGTTTTCAAATTTGGTAGCGTTTTCTGGTTTTATAAAAATGTTAACTTTTTCCTTGCTGAATGGCATTGTTGTGGTTTCATTGTAATAGGCAATGATGCCCTTAATTTTGATTTCATTTTTTGCACCATCATCATTATCATTCATTTTTCGTCTGCTACCAGAAGACAATCAATAATTAAAAAAACAAAATCGATATCTTTATTGAACTAATTACGGATTATTGATCACTTAACCATAACCAAATTAATGACATCACTGTCATTACTGATACACATTGTTGTCATTGTTCATCATTTTTAACTGTTTTCTTGGTCTTCAAACAAGAGTCCCGATAAATAAAAATCCCAAATTCCCGGATGAAATCCTGTGTCTCGATTAAACTAAATCCTGAAATCCAGATGATTATATTGCTCGTTCCCGAAATCCCAAACTTAAAAATGGACAATCCCGGAGTCCCGATAAAGGTCCGACCCCCCCCCCCCCCCCCCCCATAATAAATATTATTGTGTACATCCAACATGGTGACCAAGGATATCACAATGGGAATCATAAAAGAATGATTGCATACAATCCCTCAACATGTTCATTTTAGACCATCAAAGTGAAGCCCTCACGCAACGTCAAGGCAATAATAGTCCGCGAAAACAATTTATTTGGGATTTATTTAACAAAATATTAAAACTACTAAGATATCCTGCACAAGGCACAGGCTTATCTGTCATAGTCCGCGAAAAACAATTTATTTAGAATTTATTGTAAAAAATTAAAACTACTAAGATGTCCTGCACAAGGCACAGGCTTATCTATCATACATGTAGTCCACGATAACACTTTATTTAGAATTTATTGTAAAAAATTAAAACTACTAAGATATCCTGCACAAGGCAAGGGCTTATCTGTCATAGTCCGCGAAAACAATTTATTTAGAACTTAAAAAAATATTTTCTTCCAGTTGTACCTGAAAACATGCACAACAATACTATACATGCATTATGTATCCAGTCTATAAAACAGCAATGGGAAACAGTAAAAGAAAAATGCATTAAACACAATACAAATAAACTGCATAAACAATACAATATACTTACTTAAACATTAGAAGAAAGCAATTAAAATAGATTATAAACATACATTGGTTAGAACGTATACATGTACTTACCAGTAAAACAAAACAAAAAAATATACACAATAAAAATAAACAGCATGAACAATATAGAAAAGTATACACAATACAAACAAAAAGCATGAACAATTTGAAAAAGTATACACACTACAAATAAACAGCATGAACAATACATAATCATTATACAATATACTTACCAATGAAAGAGAAGAAGAAAGCAAATAAAAGTAAGTTATAAACATACAATGGTTAAAAAGTTCAACACAATTCAAATAAACAGTATCAGCAATACAATATACTTACCAATAAAACAGAAGAAGTGAACAAAAAAAGTAAGTGCAGTAAAAATAATATACAATTAAATAACACAATTTACTTTTTTAAAACAAGTCACAATTTACCCACTGCTGTAATAATACTGTAATGCATGTATAGTATTAAATACACAATCAGTTCTTCTTCTTTTTGAAGGTGGTTGTTCTCTCGTTTATTTTTCTTTTCACAAAATATTTCATTATTAAACTTATTTAAAGTATTAAAATGGATGAACATAGCAATAAAAAAAAAATTAAACGTCAATACTAAGCATCTAAGAATATTAATTTTTTTTCCTTTACTTTTATTTCTGAATTTTGAGTAAATTAAATAAATTGAATATATATTGCCAAGGAAAATGAAATAAGAAATAAGTTAAATATAATCGAATTAGTGATATTAATGTCTTCATTAAAATTAAATATGTACAATTTCACATTTGTTCTTTATAAATTTCATATACCTTCTAATAAATATTATGTTAAAAATATACTTTATAAAATTACTTACCTTTCTAGGGCCTTGGCCATGTCGTACTTGATGTCTGCAAAGCAGCAGTCCTTACATAGGAACTTTAGAGACACATCTGACCAGGCCGATAACATTGAATCATTCTTTGGGACACAAGCACTGTAAACCCAACCATCACAACTACTGCACTGAATTGTGCAATCAACACATTCTTCATCACATTGAACACAAGTTATAAAGCCATTTTAAAAATGGAAGACAGCACATATGTCTTCACAGGTTTTTATACCAAATTTTAGTTACTTGTAAAAACATTTATATTTGCCAATGAAAATCTTTTATTTCTTTTTGAGAAAATGTTATTACAACACACATACGAAACATCCATTTAGCTGCTTTGTTTTTATTATAAAACAATCAAGTATAATCAATTTTTTGATTAAATTTAAATTAAATATGTGAAAATTCTTAATTACGTTTCATTCAATATTGAGTAAATCGTTAAGAAAACTAATAGGTGATTGGAGTAATTGCATGGCTTTGATGTACTTGTTAACTTTTCAAAACCTTACTGAAAAACAATTATTGGACAATACTCTGTATATACAGTACATTATTTAATACTTTATTTTCATAGCATTTCCCTTTGAATGCATATGCAATCATTCTTTTATTCTTCCCATTGTGTTTTCCTTGGTCGCCATGTTGGATGTACACACTATATTTATAATGATCTTTTCAAATTATGAACTTACCTACTTTCTGTAAATCATTTTTAAGTTATAAAATACACTTATAATATAATATTATTTAATAATCAATGTTTAAATGTCACCAATATGTGCTAATATTAAAATTTCAAGTGTTATTCGGTCATTACAAGTGTTATTTGGTCATTCGAGGTACTGTTGAAAGGCTATTTGGAAGGCATCCCAGAAAAAAAACTAAAATAGCCTTTCAAGACGTCATAATTATTTGGACTAAAGCAGGTGTTACCTGTGAAAGAGGACGAAGTCCGTACAAAACAAATATTCAAATACTTATTTATGTAAAAATAAAACTACCTGTATAGTAAATTGTCAAAAGATCATCAATATTTTTTTGTACATTTTACAAATTGTTACATATTTTCATGTCTGGGCCTTTCATAGCCGAATTTAAGAAATGGATTTTTCTCATTATTGAACGCCGTACGGTTGCCTATAATTACTTACATCCACTTCATTTGAACTTTGGTGGATATTTGTCTCATTGGCAATCATACCACATCTCCTTATTTTTACATAATCCTCTTGCTGCCAGAGGCAGAGGGACAAGTGTGTTCGCACTGTCTGCCGGAGCAAACTAATACAGGTGGACAATGTAACCATTGCATCTATGGAGATTACAAAACAAGATAACTTTATTCTGGTGCACATTTTGTGCCATATCTATGCCGGAGGGACACATGAGTCCATATGTTTAATTTATGCAAGCACTTGTTCATAACTAAATCTCTTTCAAATAAAACAGCAAAGAATATATAGTGTAATCTTTCTTTTAATGGGTCTCAAATGGAATGTCATCAGGGGGGGGTATCATATATATTGAATGACATCAAAGTTGGACATGAGACGTCACGGACACTTAATTGCCATTGGCCATGACCTGGCCTCTGCAATTTAACCACATTGAATAAGAGGCAGCAAGAGGGTAAAAAAAAGTTCAATAAGGTCTTCAAATAACTTTTTGTAAGGTTATATATTTTTTATTTTTTTGCTTTGATGCCTTCAAAATTCTTTGACATAAAAACATTAGAAATGATCTACCAGACGTCATAACCATGATAACTATATACACTAAGATACTTTTTGAAAACTGGGAGGTATGAAAATTTGTCACTGGAGGAGAGATGTTGTTTTAATTTTTACATCGCGATGACCTTGAGGTCACTCAGATGTATTGCTATCGCCTAGATTTCCATTATGTAAATTAGTTTTTGGTTTGTAACCGATCTATAAACATGATAAATATGCGCACATAAACGAGTGCAAAATAACATTCCTTGTCATTTGATATAAAAAAATCTCTTCAATGAATACTGATAAAAATATTTTTGTTTACAACATAAATTAATAATGTGAAAATGTTTTGTAGTTAGATATATATATATAAGTAAAAAATCATTGATAATATATGCACACGTACCGAAAAATTGTGTTAAAGCATGCGGAAGAATATCTCAAAGAACGTTTTGCGACAGGACCGTTAACTCTGTAATTGTTTTTGCGGGAAAATATGAATGCCTACTCGTATCCAATCTTAGAAAAATCGAATTTTTACAGAAAAGTGTCCACCATGCACTTGCATTGCACTATTATTAGACTGACAGTAGAATAGAATGATATACAAACGGATGCAAATCATATATATATGTAACTGTTATTTTAATATAATATATAACAACAAATCAGTGTATACTGATTTGTATCACTACAATATAATAGTTATTACGGTGAAGTTGAATTTCCTGTCATTTATTCATCATACTCGCACGCACTTGTCTAGAAAAAAATATATCTCTGTACATTAACCTCAGTTTCAGGTAAAGAGATATGTTGTTTTTTTTCTGAGACAAGTGCTTTTGACCATCCTCAAGAACTTGTGGTCATCCGATGTTCAGTACTTCAGTACTTTGATTTTAATACTGTTGAAGATGAATGTCATGTTATTTTACATTGTCCTGTTTATAATGATCTTAGACAAATTCTTTTTACTGAATCTTTTAAAATTGATGAACATTTTGATAGTTTCACAGACTGCCATAAAATGGTATTTTTATATTTTCGAATCTAGATATTATTAGATTATGTGCCAAAACCTGTTATTTTATTCTGAAAAGACGCAGAGAAGTTTTATATTGTAAGTAATGTCACAATTACATAATATAAGCTGTATATTTTTACCATTCATGTTTAATATTTATTAATGTCTATTTCAAAATTGATGTATGTTCCCTCAACCTGTCTGACACAGGCAGTTCAGAGGCCTAGAACCTTCAAAAGTAGTGTAAACACGCGGGAATATAACTACTGATTGTGTTTGTTATTGAAATCCACTAAGTGAATGACTACTTCCAGTTGCAGGTCCAGTTGAAGCCAAAAATCAGGAAAAAATCGAGAAATTCTGGATTTTTGGTGCAAATGACCTTCTTTAGACTGCTGTACCAAGATCAGTACGACTCTGACCTAAGCTTTGTTGTGATTTATGTGTTCACAGGGGCCCACTCTACATGCATACTACATTAAGATACTTCTATCAGCATCCCTCGGCCTTCCTGGTCAAGAAAAAGGACAAAAAATCGTAAAAAATGAAGCTTTTTACACCTGATGACCAACTTTTTGAAAATGATTAAAAAAATAAATATATATCCATATATATGTCCCTGGGATTTATGCATAAACTTCTTATTTCAAATTTTACGTTGTTTACACAATTTAAATCACTTATTGTTAGGCAGATATTTATTATCCCTCTATTGTTCATGTCAATCTATTCAACTCAATACAATAATTACATGAGGGTACTGGTATGTCTCATAAAATTTTTTCCAAACCTAGCTTGGCAACTTGGCAACTTTGGCAACTTCTGTGGGACAAAAAAAAAGAAACCTCAAAATCCAGGAAAACTTTTAAATTTTCTGAAACAATATTCATTTAAATTATATATGTAGTTCTTGCCATGCCTGAAATCTTACCTATACTCAAGAGTAAATTTTTGTGCTGTAAACAGCCATAATATTTAATTCTTTCTGATGAAATTTTAAGGAAATACATGTAAAAGAATGGCACACAATATGGAAAGCAGGCCTTGGGTCAAAATGTGCTTTCTACTACAGAAAACTAGTAAAGGTACATGTAGTTCAGTAGTTACAACTGTTGATTGGATACTACCTATTTGCCGTTAAACATGACTCATGAATGCCACTGCTCACTGTTATCTACCCCCCCCAAAAAAAATAAATAAAAAAAAATAAATGATTATATTGACATGGCAGATGATTGACAATTGACAAAAACAACAAGTTACATTATACATGCATGTGCTAATATATTGACATACAATGGAAAATGTTGAATTTATAGTTAGCATATCTGTATGAAACAAATAGGGATATATACAAACATGACAAATGGCAAATAGCAATACTGTGGCCAGAAAACTTTGTAGCATCACAAGTGAACAAGCCCCTCTCTCTATCATGTTTATCTTTAATGTCAACACTTCTCCTGTCAGATTCAAAAAGAGAAGTCACTTCTCCCTTGAAAGTCAGATTAGAAAAAAAAACAATTGAAGTTATATGTCCTGATAAATATTTTCAATAAGTTGACTGAACAAACAAATAGTTATAAAGTTGCAAAAATATACTAGGGAAAATCTTAAAATTAAAGGATACATTTGTGTACATGCAGTCAGGGGTACTACTTGTACAAGTTATTTTTATTTACTTGAAGAAGTAAATATTAATATACTTATATAAGTAGATTTGTAAGATACTTATACAAGTGTATTTTATTTACTTGTATAGGTAAATTATTTTTAATGGCTTAGTTATGTCCCTTTGACATTCAGATTTTTTTTACTTATACAAGTAAAAAAGTCATGCTATCTTATTTTCTTGAATTTCTCAGGACTTCTTTGCTCTAATAGAATTTTTAGTTTGTCTGTCCTTTGCAAATGTCTTTACTTATCATTTAAGTGTAATTTCATGGACAATGAAAATCTCATTTGGCTGTTATCTTCAAAACACTGCTCATTTACAAACCTCCAAGGGGCAATTTCTGAAGGACTTGCGCAATTTCTTAAGATCTTTGCGCAATTAGTTTCTTTGTTGAATTAATGAGATGAAACCTTGAACTCTAATAAAAAATTATGAGCTTACCAGAGAAAAAATTGTTTAAGGCATGTTTTTATATCCCAAAACTTGAGAACTTTAAATTTAGGGATTTAAAAAAAAAATTACTTATACAAGTAAATGTTTTGAGAAAATTAAGAGAATTAACGTGATTAAAGCAAACTCTTTCTGGTGTCTTTTATATGTAAACAGTATACTACTTTTATTGGTAGATAGAAGATACATTTTATAATGGCATATAACCAGGAACCAAATCAAGCACCACACATATTGGGGTCCAATTACAATACACAGTACAGTACACCAACAGCACTGCCTCCAACATACGCATCAGCAGTAGATCCTCCTCCACAGAAGTCATATAGTTCAGGTGTAGATCCTCCACCAACCAACATACCTAAAAGTAAGTCTTATTTATACAACACACAGAAACATTCAGTACTGTGGATTCATTTATCTTCAGTGATACCAATTTTCTTGGATTGAGGAAAACTTATATTTTCGTGGATATTTTATTTCATGGATTTGCCCAAGTTTGTATACAAGCTTTTAGAAAATGTGTGTTCTGTTGAACATTTAAATTCATGGTTTCCCTATACCATATGTATACCAACACAATCCAGAGAAAATGGTATTCAAAGATTAGTAATGAATCAACAGTACTATCATTCTAGAATGGTATGTTTAATAAAAGTAAATTATAAAATTGAGAATGGAAATGGGGAATGTGTCAAAGAGACAACAACCCGACCATAGAGCAGACAACAGCTGAAGGCCACCAATGGGTCTTCAATGCAGCGAGAAACTCCCGCACCCGGAGGCGTCCTTCAGCTGGCCCCTAAACAAATATGTATACTAGTTCAGTGATAATGGACGTCATACTAAACTCCAAATTATACACAAGAAACTAAGATTAAAAATGATACAAGACTAACAAAGGCCAGAGGCTCCTGACTTTGGACAGGCGCAAAAATGCGGCGGGTTAAACATGTTTTTTGAGATCTCAACCCTCCCCCTATACCTCTAGCCAATGTAGAAAAAACAAACATACAACAGTACGCACAGTAAAACTCAGTTTAAGAGAAGTCCGAGTCCGATGTCAGAATAGGAAACAAAAGAAAATAAACAAAATGACAATAATACATAAATAACAACAGACTACTAGCAGTTACTGACATGCCAGCTCCAGACCTCAATTAAACTGATTGAAAGATTATGTCTTCATCATATGAATATCAGGCACAATCCCTCCTGTTAGGGGTTTAGTATTATACCGTCATAAAATATATGAGAAGAACATAACCCGTGTCATGCCAACAACTGGTTTTAGAATAAATATGTTTAATTCCGATGCAAAGACCCTATAAGCGAATCAATATTAAAGCCAAAATATACAATCTTTAATGACCTGACAACAGTATGGTAACTATATCCCTTCTTAATAAGTCTGTTTAAAGGTTTTGTTAGCTTTTGAGGTGAATACTGACATTTTTGTGCTTTGTAAAGAATATTACCATAAAAGATTGGATGTGAAATACCCGAACATATAAGATGTCTGCATATGGAGTTATATTTACGAATGATGCCTTATACTGATGATAAAATTTAGTAAATGTTTTGACTAGTTAATGATATCGAAAACCCTGGTGTAATAATTTTTCAGTAATATATAAATTTCTCTCGCTAAAATCTAATACGTGGTTACATACAAGAGCAAATTGTACAAGTTGAGATATATAAACACCATAAGATGGTGACAAGGGAACGTCACCATCTATAGTTTTTTTCTGAACGAATTGGAAAATCTTCACAAATCTTAAATGAACATAGATTTGAAGTTTATCTGTTTCGAAAAAGTATTTTTTTAGAAAATTACAAATGTGAGAAATACTTTTTCGAAACAGATAAACTTCAAAACTATGGGTACAACATAAATGAAATTGTAAGTTGTTGTGTATAATATGTCGATGTGCAATTTATTTTGTTTGGAAAAATTGTCAAATGAATTTGAGAAAACCTTAATTTTTGGGTAAAGATTGCATGAAATGCAATGAAAACCCTATGGTACTGACTTGATATCTGTATCTTCCAGGGTTGATCTCTTCTTCCTTTGATAGTTCAAACAATACAGTGCAGTGAAGTGATCATTATTTAGGTCCTATCCAGTCAATGTCGTGCAATTTATTGATGATATGTTATATTTTGATATTTAAGTTACAATATGATGTGTATTTGAATTACCATACTTGTCAAGAAAACATTTTTTATCAAAAGTTACATAAGTAATGCATGGTGTATGAATCTGTTATAAATCTAGGTTTAACTACAAATGAAAAATCATGAACAAAGGAAAATAACTCAAATTTTTAACTTGCCTTGCAAAATACAATTCAATGTTTTATTTAAAAATTCACAAAATTACAAAATGAAAGCCATCTTTTCCCTTTCAGTGCCCACAAACACTTGATAGATAAATAGTCATGCATCTTTAGCAAATTTGTCAAATTGTGTATGATTACCAGAAATGCATGTAACACATTTAATCTTACTTATTTAACAGATAGAATAGCTGACAGTAACTATGAGACAGGATTTGCAGATAGTCCGTTTGGTAATTCTTTCAGTGACAAGGCTGTGAGACATGCGTTCATCAGAAAGGTATGTAGTTAGATGCTTGACATGCGTTCATCAGAAAGGTATGTAGTTAGATGCTTGACATGCGTTCCTCAGAAAGGTATGTAGTTAGATGCTTGACATGCATTCATCAGAAAGGTATGTAGTTAGATGCTTGACATGCGTTCATCAGAAAGGTATGTAGTTAGATGCTTGACATGCGTTTATCAGAAAGGTATGTAGTTAGATGCTTGACATGTGTTCATTAGAAAGGTATGTAGTTAGATGCTTGACATGCATTCATCAGAAAGGTATGTAGTTAGATGCTTCACATGCGTTCATCAGAAAGGTATGTAGTTAGATGCTTGACATGTGTTCATCAGAAAGGTATGTAGTTAGATGCTTGACATGCGTTTATCAGAAAGGTATGTAGTTAGATGCTTGACATGCCTTTATCAGAAAGGTATGTAGTTAGATGCTTGACATGCATTTATCAGAAAGGTATGTAGTTAGATGCTTGACATGTGTTCATCAGAAAGGTATGTAGTTAGATGCTTGACATGCGTTTATCAGAAAGGTATGTAGTAAAATGCTTGACATGTGTTCATCAAAAAGGTATGTAGTTAGATGCTTGACGTGTTCATCAGAAAGGTATGTAGTTAGATGCTTGACATATGTTCATCAGAAAGGTATGTAGTTAGATGCTTGACATGCGTTTATCAGAAAGGTATGTAGTTAGATGCTTGACATGCGTTCATCAGAAAGGTATGTAGTTAGATGCTTGACATGCATTTATCAGAAAGGTATGTAGTTAGATGCTTGACATGTGTTCATCAGAAAGGTATGTAGTTAGATGCTTGACATGCGTTTATCAGAAAGGTAAGTAGTTAGATGCTTGACATGCGTTTATCAGAAAGGTATGTAGTTAGATGTTTTTCTTTCTACCTATAATGACTGTTTGTAGATTTATGCACAGGAAAAGCAATTTACACTTTTGATTTAACTGGAATTAAAATTAAAATTCTCATATATAATGTGTTAGTGTGGTATTTAATGCAATTCAGTTAAAAATCATTTGTATTGAAACTTTTTTATGATGAACATAAATTTTGAATAAAAGCATGATTGTGATAATTTTGAATAAAAGCATGATTGTGATTTTTAATTTTAGGTTTACCTTATACTGATGATTCAGTTACTGGTGACCTTTGGCGTTGTTTGTTTGTTTTCTCTTGTGTAAGTAATTTTATACAATGTCATTCAGGACGATTTTGCTAAGAAATCAAAGCATTGTAAAATTTTCAACTTTTATAGTGTACTAATATTGTAAAAAAACTCTTATGAATATGTTTCCAGTACAGTGTACGGAACAGAGACAATGAATATCTTCTAACTATCAATTATATACAAAAAGTATTGTGTTAATTATATATTATAGTTATCTTATTGTCAAGATTTCTTCAGCAGATCATAAACTATAGGTTTTGAGATGACGGGTGCCCTATGCCTAACTGGATCTGCTTACCCATGAATAAACAAGTATTATATAGTGCAAGATTTCCACATCATGTGTCTATATCTTAAAGTAATCTTATATAAACATACCATTTCTCCTAAGTATTATACAGAAGCAAAATCTTCTTAACTTTACTTATGATGAATTTGGTGCAAATGCTTGTAGAATGAGATATTGACTTGCAAGATGTAAAATGAAAGTTATCATTTATATTACTCCAATAGCTGAAATAAGAAGATCTCTTCATCTCAGATATGTGATTTTGTAAATAAATCTTTGAGCTAATTGAAATTTTTTTTTATAGAAAAATGTTTTCAAATTTTGATAGAGATTGAAGTGAAATACAAGTGGATCATTTCCTGTCCAGAATTTTTACATTTTTCTTAACTTAAATGATCAATAAATTTTTGTTTTTTCTTTTAGTGCACCGATCAAACAATTTATACAGACAACAGGATCTTGGTTTTATTGGGTATCGTAGTAAGTATAATATATTATAAGTTATCTACGTTCATATCTGTAGATATGGGTATTTTAACACCCTGAAGTATCCAAGTACGCCCTGAGGCAAAGCCGAATGGGGGTACAGGGTACTGAAGGGTGTTAAAATAACCATATCTATGAATATGAACGTAGATAACAAATATATCCCCAGTCTTAGTCCGAATCTGGCATTTTTTTTAGGGAAATTCGACCACAAAGTGTAACGTGAAGCAACGTTTACGATTATTTAAAGAAGTTTTATTGAAATTTGGAAATTTGAGATCTTTTTTACGGGGTGTAGGGTAGAACCATACAGGTTGTTAAATATAAGACATTTTTCATCCAGAGAAAGAGAAACTGGAATAAATCAAATTTGGTGCTCAATGTTGCAAGCGTTACCTCATAGACAGTGTGACGTTTACGTAGGTCATTTGCATAGCTAGACCAGTCCCATTCATTGACGATGTAGTAGCCAAGTGATGCATTTACTAAATGAATGCAAATGATTGGCATGATAGGATAAAATCGTTAGTGGATTACATATTTAATTACAGATATCTTGGATAATCGGGGCCTCTGTGGCTGATTGGTCTAAGTAGTTACTACTGTAATCACTAGCCAGTCAACACTGAGGTTGTAAGTTCGAACCCTGCTCGTGCAGGTGCACTTGACTCCAATCTTAATTGACTAGGATTGTCAGTTTTCCTATCGAAGGCCTGTGGTTTTCTCCGGGCACTCCAGCTTCCTCCACCAATAAAAACTGGCCGCCACGAAATAGCCCAAAAGCGGTGCTTAAAGTGGCATCAAAAACACAAAAATCAAATCAAATCATGGATAATCTACAGAATTCAATTATTCACTAGGAACAACCAAGGAACTTATGAAAAGGCGTGTGCAGTTCCCCGTGGTAATGGATAGCAATGTCTGGGTATATGGGTTAGCAACACCCGGGGCTATGGGTTTTTTAACTACCGTAGGTATGTTAGCCAATCAAAATCGGAGAAATATACTGAGCCGGGGATAAATAAGATTATAGGGCTCTCTCAATATCACACCTGTATATATAGATAATAGTATAGGGCTTTCTCAATATCACACCTGTATATATAGATAATAGAATAGGGCTCTCTCAATATCACACCTGTATATATAGATAATAGTATAGGGCTCTCTCAATATCACACCTGTATCAACCTGTGACTCCAACATCATTAATCAGAGGATTATAGTTGGCGTCCATTAGTTAGTCAGTTGAAGAGCTCATCAGAGCTCATGTTTCATTGTTATTGTTTACTTTAGATAAAATTTACTTGCTTCCTTACTTCCTGGAGAATACCGTATGGCTTTTTCAATATCATAACCGTATCAACCCTAGACATCAATATAGTCCCCTCGAGCTCTGTTGGAGATATTATAAAGGTTGAGGGGTGATGCCTTGTGCGATATTGAGCAAGCCCTATCATTTAAACATTATTATGTACTTCAAACAGATGTTTTGACAGATTTTGAGGTTTGATATAGCCTGTACATTGTGACCTGATATCAATATCCTTATGGATCCCTGATACAGAACGATTGCCATTGAATTTATGACACATGAAACTTGCTTGTATTTACTACTAAGTAAGAAATTATCTATTTCTCAAATGTAGACATTTATGATACATGTTTATAAGGAAAATTAGAATTTACATTTGTATATTAATTAAAAAAAATAGGTGAAAAATTTAAAAATTTGGGAAAGTTAAAATAAAGTATCTGTTTTCTCAATGAACAACCTACAAGCCTGAAAAAATTTACCTACCAAAAACTTCATTATAGAAAGTGTATTTTAATGTTAAAAGATATTGCAACAAATGCCCTTAATTTTCTGTACAAATAAAACAAAGAAAATTGCAAGAAAATGAATGCACTGATGCAAATACAAGTTAAAGAATACAATACACTGAGTCACATATACATATTTGTTAAAATATACTTGTTTGTGCTGTATTAAGACCCCTCCACCGAGAAATTTGTTTTGCATGCACACATATAAAAATTGTGGTTTTTATCCAACGCAATCATAGGTTTGAACGTTGTTTTCAATTTAGACTTGTATATATATATATATTATATATATATATATATACATAAAGTGCCTAGAAAATCAACGTAATGATGTTAGAGTAGATCTGTTTCTTTACTTCTTCCGCGAGCGGGGCTGGAACCTGTACTTTTTATTTCTAACTTCTACGACAACACCACCTAGCAATGCGCAGACACCTTATCCCCTCCTCTAACTATAGCTGATAAAAATCAGCTTTCGTTTCGGGAGGTGTTACCTTCTCGTAGGAATTAAACAAGGATATCTGATACAATATATATAAATATATATATATATATATATGGAAAGTTATTGTGCTTTCAGTGTTTTGCATATATTGAAGTGTTTTCATGAATTTTTATTCAACTGAAAATAATTAGAAAGGTAAAGACAGCAACCCAAGTTGAAATATAAGAATAAAAGGATTTGACATGATCGCCTATGAGACAACTCTCAATCAGACACCAAATAACGTAGAAGGTTGGCAACTTAAGATCACCATACAGCCTTCAACAATGAGAAAAACCCATACCACATACTAAGCTATTAATGGCCCTGAAATGACAAATGTGAAACAGTTCAAAGGAGGAAAACTAATGGCTTGATTTATGTTCAAAACAATTAATGGAAAACAAATATAATATACAGCAACAAACTACAACCACTGAATTACAGGGTCAGACTGGGTCTTCATGGTTTGCCTCTTAGATATGTGTCTGTATCCAGAAATTGTATGAATAGATATGATAAAGTATAAATTTAGTGGTTTAAAAATGATATCTCATAGAACATGCATATAAACCTTAGAAAGATAGATAAAATAATAAAAGTGGAATTAGTTAGCATGGTTAGTGTTATAAAAATAGAACAATGAAAAGTGAAATTAGAACATAGTTTTGATATTGTCGAGCCTGCGACTTTTGTCGCAGAAAGCTCGACATAGGGATAGTGATCCGGCGGCGGCGGCGGCGTTAGCTAACTTCTTAAAAGCTTTATATTTTAGAAGGTGGAAGACCTGGATGCTTCATACTTTGTATATGGATGCCTCATGTTACGAAGTTTCCGTCAGTCACATGTCCAATGTCCTTGACCTCATTTTCATGGTTCAGTGACTACTTGAAAAAAAAGTTAAGATTTTTTGTAATGTTAAATTCTCTCTTATTATAAGTAATAGGATAACTATATTTGGTATGTGCGTACCTTGCAAGGTCCTCATGCCCGTCAGACAGTTTTCACTTGACCTCGACCTCATTTCATGGATCAGTGAACAAGGTTAAGTTTTCGTGGTCAAGTCCATATCTCAGATACTCTAAGCAATAGGTCTAGTATATTCGGTGTATGGAAGGACTGTAAGGTGTACATGTCCAACTGGCAGGTGCCATCTGACCTTGACCTCATTTCCATGGTTCAGTGGTTATAGTTAAGTTTTTGTGTTTTGGTCTGTTTTTCTTATACTGTATGCAATAGGTCTACTATATTTGGTGTATGGAATGATTGTAAGGTGTACATGTCTAGCTGGCAGGTGTCATCTGACCTTGACCTCATTTTCATGGTTCAGTGGTCAAAGTTAAGTTTTTGAGTTTTGGTCTTTCTTTCTAATACTGCATGCAATAGGTCAGCTATATTTGGTGTATGGAATGATTGTAAGGTGTACATGTCTAGCTGGCAGGTGTCATCTTACCTTGACCTCATTTTCATGGTTCAGTGGTCAAAGTTAAGTTTTTGAGTTTTGGTCTTTTTTTCTAATACTATATGCAATAGTTCAACTATATTTGGTGTATATTTTATATTTTATGATCTATATGTCAGTTACGCAGGTTTTATTTGACCTTGACCTCATTTTCAAGGTTCATTGCTCAGTGTTAAGTTTTTGTGTTTTCGTCTGTTTTTCTTAAACTATAAGCAATAGGTCAACTATATTTGTTGTATGGAAGAATTGTTAGCTGTACATGCCTGCCTAGCATGGTTCATCTGACCTTGACCTCATTTTCATGGTTCATTGGTCAATGTTTAGTTTACTTGGTTAATGTTAAGTTTATGTGACAGTTGTAATAAAGCTTTATATTTAGGACTATCAACATAATATCAATGATTAGTAAAGAAGGCGAGACATTTCAGCGTGTGCACTCTTGTTTTTTTAAGCAGTTAAAAAAAATGGTTTATGATTTTATTACAGTGGTACTTTCCTTGTGACTTACATAGTGCTAGTGTGCATCCCTTCGGTGAGACGGAAGTTTCCAGGAAACTTTATATGCTTGGCAGTTTTTGTAAGTATAATTTGCTGTGGATAAAACATTTGAAATTATTTACATTAAAACATTCGCAAAGTTTTTCTTGTCTGTTTTACTAGTTGAAGTTGTCATGTGCACACTTCAAGTTAACTACTAAATGAAATGCAAGAAAACTTTTTCAGATCCTGTATGAATAATTACTCATATTCTTTAAATTGTCAAGTTATTATAAGAATTATTTTAATTACAAATGTAACTACATTTAGAAATTTTTCAATGTTTTTATTATAGTGAAAATTGTATAGGTTTTGCAAGATCCCCAAAAAATAGCATTATTTTTATGTAACTTTTCTGAAATTGAAATAATAAATCTCACATTTTTGTTCATTGTTTAACAATCGCATGAGTAAATGCCAACAAAATTTTCTGAATTTACAGTCTGTTTCTCATGCTTAGACATTGAATTAGTCACTCCTTAACAAAAGGTAGGTATCACTAACCCTTAGTCCCTAGACCAGTTTATATTATAAAGAAAGTTTTTCTGATGTATTATAACATGTATCATCAATTTTGATAATATTAGACTTCTATATACTGTGGAATCATTTATTTTTGTGTATACTAATTTTCGTGGATTGAGGAAAAATTAAATTTTTCAGGATATTAGTTTTCTTAGTTTTGTCAATCTATCAAAGCCTATTGAAAATGTGTATTTTGTTGAACATTTAAGTTTTTGGTTTGCCTTTACCCACAAAAATCCATGGAAATTGGTATCTCACGAAAAATAATGAATCCACGGTATTAGTACTAAAGAATGACATTCTTGTTTTTTTTGCAGACCTTGGCATTTTCTTACATGGTTGGAACAATCAGCAGGTTCAGTATCTTATTATCACAATACTATTTAATATTTTTTTACCCTGTTATTAAAGTCTCTGACAAAACATGTCAAAGTTCAGATATCACACCAAACATGTGTGTCTGATTATTTGAGGTCTTACATTCCTTGTAGTGTTTGATTATTTTTCTCAGCTGCTCAATGTTAAGATGAATAATTTCAACCTAAAAACCTGATACAATGCCTGAACACATGCTTGAAGTTTAGGAGTTTTTTAAAATCTAAGAAATACATGTACCTTTAATCTTTTTATGTAAAGTAATGAGTTAAATATATACACATCCCCATCAGAACAATGATTTATGCATTTCTTTTGCAAGAACTTATCACAAATATCAAATTTGTTGCAACTTGTATTTTTTGGGGTTAATCAGCACAGACAGCTTTGGAAAGCCAAAGAAGGATGAATATCATTTATAACAACAAAGTCAAATGTTTCTTAAAATGAAGGAGGTGTAGATATTTAAAAGTGTGGAAAATATTTGCTAGTCAGTCATGTTGAGGCTGTGTATCATATTGAAATTTTGTAACATGTAAAATTACTCTATCTTTGTATTTCTCTTAACACATCTTAATCTTTAAAAAATTTTTATAAGCTATATTGATTATTTACCTGCAATTACCTGCTTCGCACAGTAAAAACAATTAAATTAATCACTATCAAAACAATTCCCGATTGTCCCATATTTAAACTTCCCAATTGTCCCACAAACATGTTCCAGATTGTCCCACAAAATTTCATCACTTTTTTACCTGTTATTTTAAAAAGTGGGACAATCGGGAAGATACTGTGTATCATACATTAGATATGTACTGCTAAACAGACTTATCTTTTATTATTTATTGTAGTTTTTATGACACAACCATTGTATTTGTGGCAGCAGGAGTAACATGCCTTGTTTGTCTGGCCTTATCTCTGTTTGCCATCCAGACCAAGGTAAGATATGGCTAGTTTGGTAAAACAGAAGTACAAAGTCAAATCTATAGTAAATTTGCAGTTCACATATCTTGTTTTTATTTTTATGCCCCACTTACAATTTCATGGTCCACTGAACATAGAAAATGATAGTGCCAGTGGGGCATCTGTTTTCTATGGACACATTCTTATTTTTATATACATGTAATTTCATTCGTGTAATATTAACATGAATTAATAAACATACTCTTTAGCTATCCAAAACAGATCTTTTTCTCCTCAATCCATGTTAAAAAATGTAGATGGCACAGTTATGGAACTTCTTTTAAGCTTCACTAGACCATTTGGATCATATGAACTATTGTCATCACTTGGTATTCATTGTCATCATAAACCTTTCAAAAAATCTGTTCTGAAACAATTTTTCTCAATTTACTGTTTTGGCACTTTTGCTACCTTAAGGCATGCTATACAAATAAGTTAAAAACAGAAATTGTCTAGGAGTAATACCATGTCTAGGAGTAATAACACCATTGTTTTTCCCCTAGTTGCCTATTAGTCTTTGTTAAATTGTCATTTTTCAAAAAATTATGCAGAATTTATCTTTGTTTCAAATAAAAAAAAATATTATCATGAGTAAAGTTTTATCCTGTCCAGTACAACAGTCAAAATTTCAAATAACATTTCATTGCATATAAGATAAAAACCATCACTGGAAATTAACCAAACAAAATTTTTAACCCGTTTTTCCTGTTTACAAGCTTTAGTAACCATGTAACCTCAAGTTTCCAAAATATTTTATAGACAAACCAAATAAAAAAAGAGTACTGCCTTGAATCACCTAATATAAATATGTTTATGACTCAGATTTTTTGTTCTACAATAATTTTGCTGGGTTAATTTCCTACAACTGTCAAATTCAAGGGAATAGTTTTTTCGACCCGTTTTCATATAAAACCATTTGGAACGTTTTGGTGGTATTAACCCTCAATTGACTATTTCACCCATTATTAGCATTTTTGTTTTGTGATCTCGACCCCAGAAACTATAAATCCAATTTAAACCAATCTTGAGTCAATATGACTGACCCTTACTCTAAATTGTATTTTGTTCTGTCATTTATCTTGGCTGCCATTATTAAAAAAAAAGATAGGAGTAAACTGCAAATGATTGTCTTATATTTTGAAAACTGTAGTAGACATGGAGATTCTGACAGGGCGAAAAATTAGAAAGTCAAGATCTACTGAAATGTTCTCCCTATCTAATTTGTCAGATGATTTCTTTTTGGAGTTACTGCCCTTTAATCATGATTTCATGAAATTTTTTTTACCTTACCTTCATTACAATAATGTATAGAATGATACTGTAAACAGGAAAATTGATAAACAAGCAAAATAAGGTCTACAAATATTGTGATGACTGCTATGTGGAGGGAATTTGATTTTTGTTGGGAGGGGGGAGACTTTTTATTAGATTGTGGTTCTGGCTCTGAGGGAAAAAATGATTAATATACATTTTTACATGTATGGCCTAAAAAGCTGTATAGGTGAAAATTCAAAATTTATGTCTTAATTATAATCATGTTAAAGTTGGAAATAAATATCAATATGACATGTTTTATTTGGTGAGCAATTCAGGCTTCTAAAAGCCTATAGTTCAAATGGCTGTGTGATGATTGTATAACTTCTGCAATCTATCATCTTTGCTAAATGTCACTAAGTTTATTATTGTGTAGAGGTTTAAGGTTACATATGCTAAAAATAAACCAAAATTGGTGATTAAAGGTGTTTTAGATGATACTTCAAGCAAAAATCTTGTAACAATGAAGCATACATTTGGACATATTAGGAATACACTTCTTAAGGTTGTTCTGTTATATGTAACTAATTTTATTTTATTTTTAGGTTGACTTCACTATGTGCAGTGGTCTGTTGTTTGCCTTGTTGATGGTACTGATCTTATTTGGATGGTCCTGCCTGATATTTTATTTTGTTTTCCCAGCCGATGTTTTTGCATGGAGGGTAAGGCTTTTTATTATTCTTCTTGTTTGATTAATTCCAAATTGGTCAATGCTGAGCCTTTTGAGCTCTCCTCTCTCAAAGGGCCATAATAGCAATATTTATCACTTTGAATCTGTTTATCTGTTGTTTTTTTATTGTTTTAGTAGATATTTTCAATATCTTCTTGGAACCAGGGCAATTTGCACAAAATTTGTCAGGAATAATATATGTAGGGTTCTTTATAAAAGCATCTCATTTTGTATTGTTCGAATGAAAAAAATAGACGACAGGGATAATATTTTTAAGTGTTTATTAATTTCAGATAATGGACTGTGTCTATGGTGGACTTGCTGCACTAGTTTTCAGTCTGGTAAGATATTTATTCTAATGACCAGATGTGGTCACAGGGATGTAAATAACAGGGGCCCAGCTGCTCATAGCCCCTTTATTATCACGTGGGCCACTTAAATTTGTTATATATTACTCATTATGAGAAAACTGTTGACTTATGAAAATACTAGACAGGCAACTACCTAAAAATTTCTTTCATCTTTGGGTCAGTGGCATTTACAGGACCTTTGAAAATCCACTTCTTTCTTTCTTATTAAAACAAAAATATATTACAAGTTATTGGAAACTCATTTACTCTTCTGTTAACTGTGTGGGTTTCAAATCCAGAGGATTTGGCACAAGACAGAAGGATAATGGGTATTCTGCAACACAAAATGTAGGAATCAATGGTGTACAAAAGGGCAAATAGATTTTCGCAACTTAATGTCCCAGAAAAAAATAATAAGCATGATAGTTGTCTAATTGAAAATCGTATCACATCTCCTTATTTTTTCATTGACTAATGGTCATTGGTGTAGGAATTTTCATGCAAACCATGGGGCATGTCCTTGAACTCCTCTCACAACATATGAGAAAGGTCCAGTCAGGAATCTAATCTGTGGTTGTCTTGTGTCATATCTTATTTTATTATTTTTATTATATGGAAAATTTGGTCTTGAAGTCAATTCTTTGATTGTTTCTTCTTGAGTTATTCATTTCTTTACAGACTCGGGACAATTTAGAGTTTGACATCTACACCTAATCACTATAAGTCCAATCTGGAAACACAGTCACTTAGATAACTTCCTGCTTGTGTCAAGAGTCACAAAAACAAAAGTCATAAAAATATTTAGTTTGAAGTGATTTCACTGGTTTATACATGTCTCTTTGAAAAGTTTTATGCATATTACATTGTTTTAATTTGAGTTATCCAGTATCTATTGAAATATGGTAAAGTATTAGGTGTAAGAAGTTGATCTTGAGCTAAAGCTTACCTAAAATTTGTGTATAAGAATTTAGAAGAGGATGTTGTAATTTTTCTATGGCCCCCCTGGAGACATTTAAAATTAATACTATCAACATACCACTGTTACTTGCACAAGGTTACCTATATTATAAAGAGATGCAGACTGGTAAGGAACTATTTTGAAAGAATCATATTTTGATTGAGCCATCATAAATATATGGAATATCTTTATTCTGTAAAGAGGAATAGATGTGTAGTTTGATTAATTTTGGGAAAAAAATCTGACATCATTGCCAGGGAAACAAAAGCCATCTTTTCCCCTAGTGCTATGTACCATGCTCTTTGCTTATTAATTAATTTGTCATATTTTCAGTTCCTTGTGTATGACACCCAGATGGTGGTAGGTGGCAAGAAACATGAGCTTTCTCCAGAGGAGTACGTGTATGGAGCCTTACAGCTATATATTGATATAGTCTATCTCTTCTTGATCCTCCTGGCTTGTTTTGGAAAGAGTAACTGAACAGTAACAGAATATACAAGGCTTTATTGTACTTTGTTAGCTATTGTCAGTAATTATTATTATAATCAAAAGTTTATATACTTGATATATTTTTGGTATACAAATCATTTTCTGTCAAAGTTTCAGAAAAGTCATGGTTTAAATTTAAGTACAAAGAAAGATTTTTTTTTATGTGGTATTAAATAATTTCAAATAGTTAAATACTTGACTACAACAGTCTGTGATTTTACAAAATAATCCAGTATTTTTTTCAATGTATTAGTCATTTTAGTAAGCTTTTTTATAATTATTTAATAGATTTTTAAGATTGGTGATGGGTGTATTGTATTCAATTTCAATTTTTCTTTGAAATTTTTTTAATTGATTTGTAAACAATTACACTTTATGCAGTCAGCCGCCCAAAGATTAGGCCTTGTTTTATAATCAATATTGATTTTACATGATATTTGAAATTTATATGTTAACAATGCAATTAATTAGAAAAATTCCATTCAATTTTTTTAGAATACTTGTCAACAAACTTAGAAAATAGATAAAAAGTGAATTCAAAGTATTAACTTTATCAATTTAAAAATTTGTAGCTGAAATTAAAGTTTTTTCATCGCTAGTGTTTATTTATTCTTCATGTTAAAAAAAAATTACAATGACTTTATTATTATTTTGCAATCAGATGTTTTTAGAATACTTTTAACTTTCCTTTGTCAAAAAAGTACAAGAAGTATTTATATGTTTTGAAATTATTTTTGTATATTATATTGAAAAATCTTCAAGCTCAAAATGTAATTGTCCATCAACATTTTTTTGCTGGAACAATATATCCATTGATATTTTTCCTGGAATAATATATCTGTTGGATATTTTCTGTCATATTTTTTTCACTGTGCTGAATAAATGAAAATTTTTGAGCATTTATGGCATGAATGTATTTCAGTCACATGAATATTGATGAAAGGGTAAAGATATGACTAAATATTTTTTTGAACTAAATGTTTTAATTTCGTTGTATTTACCCTATAAATATGTCATATGCTGTAAACATCATTACAGTAGATAATTCATTATCTTTTTTATACGACCGCAAAAAATTTGCGTTCGTATATTGCTATCATCATGATCATGTCGCCGCCGTTGTCGTCGTCATGGCCGAAGACATCTGGTTTCCAGACAATAACTTTAGTATAAGTGAATGGATCTCTATTTTAATCACAAGATTCAATAGCACAAAAGAAAGGTTAGGATTGATTTTGGGGGTTATGGTCCCAACTGTTTAGGAATTAGGGGTCAAAAAGGGGCCAAAAAAGGCATTTTTCTAGTTTCCGGACAATAACTTGTGTATAAGTGTATGGATCTCTATGAAATTGTACCACAAGGTTCCATACCACAAAGGGAAGGTTGGGATTGACTTTGGGGTTATGATCCAAACCGTTCAGGAATTAGGGGCAAAAAAAGGGGGGAAAACAAGGTTTTTCTGGTTAATGGACAATTTCTTAACTATTAGTCTATGGATCTCTATGAAATTGAAACACAAGGTTCCATAACACAAAGGGAAGGTTTGGTTTGACTTCGGGGGTTACGGCTCAAACCGTTCAGGAATAAGGGGCAAAAAGGGGGGGGGGGGGGGTGGGGTGGGGTGGGGGGGAAGGAGGAACAAGGTTTTTCAGGTTTCCAGACAAATACTTAAGTATTAGTCAATGGATCTCTATGAAATTGTACCACAAGGTTCCTACCACACACTGATGGTTGGGGGTCGATTTTGTGGGTTGTGGCTTTAATCGTTAAGAAACAAGAGGCCAAATAGGGGCCAAAAACAAGACTTTTCTAATACTGGCTAAGCTTGTTCTAACATTCAATTTACCTCTTGTTCAGTGCTGCAGGTTATGAAACTGTCAATTCATAAAATGAAAGAGCTTTATAAAAGTGATACCTTTAAATATATTAAATGTGACTTAAAAATTTTCATGAAATATCCTGAAAATAGGCTTAATTTCCATATTTAAAAAAAACTTTCAAACTATTTTAAATAAAAAAGATTGAAGTATATTGTATGTTAAAAATATAGAAAGCTAGTATCTCCTATTTCTAAACTGACCATATCGGATATTTAAAATACATGAAAAATTAGGAAAGCTAATTATGGTTAATCGATTGATTGATGGCTTGGTAAGGTTCAGTATTGATTATGAGACCATGATAATAAAACAGGAGAAATATTTGACCCATACATTTTTGTTTTTGATACTGACTTGATCAGAATATTAAGTTGGTGAACTATTATAATGATGTTCTGATGTATATATGAATTGGCATGCATTTCATTGATAGATTGACACCGATGGACATGACGACGACGAGGGTGGTTTTTAACGACCTTGACTATTCATGAGGGTCTTGCACGGTTGGCCCTGGCTTGCGCCTTTTTGGGCATTTAAATAATTTATTTTTACCTTAAGGTGTTGGATGGACATGAGCATATGAAGTTGATGCACTCTTATTTGACGTCATTGCCTAATATTTTTAAGTATCAGATCCTATCCATGATCTAAAAATATATTATGACAATGTACAAATTGACGATAAAATCCTAAATCAGGAATTTTTGTGAATGTGTAATTCGCTCTGTTCAGAGTAGAATATTTACTGTTGAATTTACACTTCATAAATATTTCATTAAGCATTTAAATACAAATGCATAAGGAAGTAACATACAAACAATGAACTTGCCAAAGAATTAATAACACCCTCTAAGGCTTAAATTATAAAAAAAAAACTCTGATATTAGCCAAAAATTTGATTGTCTCTTCCTAAGGCCAAAACGGAAAAAATAGCCAAATACAGCCAAAGATTTTACTGCCCCCTTTTAAGACCTAACAGAAAAAAAATAACCCAATACAGCCAAAGATTAATCTGTCCCCTTCAAAGGCCAAAAATTGAAAAGATAATTTAAATAGCCATAGATTTAACAGCCCCTTCTAAACCCTAAACGGAGACAATAACCTGATATAAGGTGTCAAGTTAAGGACTGGGATACTTTTGTTGACAAAAGCTGACATGACAGTGTAGAAGTAGACAGACATGAAATGTATAACAATTTGACTCTAATCTCAATTGACTAGGATTGTCAGTTTTCCTGATGAAGTTCAGTGGATCTCTCCAGGCACTCCAGCTTCAATAACCAATAAAAACTGAATGTCATCATGTAATCAATAGTGCTGAAAGTGGCATAAAACATCAATCAATCAATCTTTTCTTATTTCAGCAGTTTTCTTGACATTCATTTTTGCTTCTCATGAAGCCTCAATGTCATATTAAATATTATAATGATATGTTACTATTTGTTTTCCATAAAATATTGAGAGTTTTGTTATTAATTGTTTGTACAGTAGTGAAAGTAAGATGTTTTACACTCTATATGTGGTTATTTATAAAAAAAAAACCACACACTAGTTCCTTTCGTATCTGACTTTGAAGTGGTGTTTTTTTGGCAGCTAGTCAGTTTATTTAAAATTTTATGAAATGATTGGTATTGTATTGTTACAGTTGAAATTTGACCACTTTGCAAAGTGTTGTTTTTAAAAATGACCAACCTGAGATTGAAGTAGCTGTGATATGAAATTGCTAGACATTGCAATTTGAGTAGACTTGTAGACATGTCATACAATTTAATTTTACATTATTGTTTTTATGTTATCAATGTTTTGCTGTTTTAATGGTTATAATGAAGATGTGATATCTAAACAATATTTTTTGATTTTGGAGGAAAGGGGGAGGGAGACATCGTTAGTATAATTTTTTTCTTGGTTAACATCCTGTGTATTTTTTCATTGTAAGAAATGTCATGTTTGATGGTGTAACTATTGTTTAAAGTTTTAACAAAGATTAGGTCTGAATGAAAGTTAAAATGTAGTTTGTGCTGGATTTATTGCCTTTTTCTAGATTAATTTTCATACAGAATGCACACAGCCAATAGTTGTGACAATCCATAATAGATTAATTCAAGGGGAGCAATATAACAAAAAGGAATAGCCAATCCCATTAAAGAATGTGTGATTAGTCTTCAAATTTTCTTTAACATAGTGTAACTCCCCTGGGCATTTTCTCATGTTTTTTCTATACATTTCTTTCTTCCCATACATTTCATGTGCAAATCCTGAAAACATTTTTTGGGTGCAGGAATCTAAAAGAAAGCTACAGACCTATATTCATTTTTTTGTAATCTAGTTGTTTTACACATAATCTATTTTGAAATATGAAATTTAGGAAAATATTAATATTTTGAATATCAGCAGGATACATCCAAAAGCTCACTTTACAATGATCAAAAGTTGTTGGAAAAAAAATACTAAAAATGTATGAAATAAATCAAAAACAATGTCATTACAAAACAATATCATTAAAATGGCTGTTTGTAGGATGATACCCTTTGAGATTTACAGTCCATTATTACAATGACTGTTGGTGGCATGTTATATTTATAAAAAGTTATATACTACAAATAAAGTTATATCATTTGGTTAAAAATAAGTGCATTTGGTCAATTCAGCTACAAATATCTGATACAGGATATATGTATATAGTGTAGATGTAAATGTCTACTGGTTTATAGAAAATAAAATATTAACCAAAATTTTAAGTAAATCTGTTTGCATTTTCTGTAAATTTAAAAATGGAAAAGATGGTTTAAAAGAATATTTTATTATGCCTGTTGACTTTCTCTCTTATTCTAATTTAGCAATTTTAAAGAATACAAAAATGAACTGTATAAAACCTTAAAATTATTATTATAATGTACTACTACTTTATGAATAACTTCCATTCTTTTAAAAATAAAAATACTGGTTTGTTATGAACTTAATATAAACAATATTTAGTGTGTTTGTTTGATTTCAGATTTCAATATCTATAGTAAATTATATCCTGCAATTGTAAATATTTCTTGTATCAATGTAAAAGTAAATTTATGTTCCATGTTTTATATTCAGTTAGAATTTGTTTGACCAGTCTTGATATTGTTGTATGGAGATTTGATCTATATCTGTTAAAATCAAAATAATAAAAATGAATGGCCTCAATACCTTTTTTTGTTGTACAGAGATTTAATATACATTTGTTAAAATCAAAATATTATCATATAAATGTTCTCTGTATTATATTGTATTTCTTTTCACATTAAGCCAAAAGACTTATAGCTAGGTTTATTGTCTGTCCTCTGGCAGCATTGGCAATAGCTTCATGTATAAAACTTCTTAGGTCAGAATGCAGAAATGTTAATCATGTTAGATACTTACAGAAATAATATTTATCTTGTGTGCAAATGTCTCATGGTCATAAGTCTAGCATATGTCTGTTGTCCTTGACCTCATTGTAATGGTTAATTACTGCATACAAACTATAGGTTTTTTCACTGGATGTTATGCTCCATCTTCTGTAGTTCTGTTTTCCGGTCTGTGCATTCGGTTGTTCTTATGTTCATCCAATGGTTCATACATCCCGTATCGGGTTGAAGTTTTGGTTTAAGGTCTTTTACTGTAAAATACTCTGTTTTTGATCCAGTCATGCTGGGTCTGTGTGAGCACTCCAGATTTTTAGATGCTGCAAGTAGGTTCTACTTAATTTAAAAACAAATATAATCTGACATCAGTGATATAAATAATATAATCTGGCGTCCATAGAGCTGTGGACGCCGGATTATAAAGTTCATGATTATATTTGTGTTTTTATGTATTTAGTAAATTAACATTTTCTGTCTATTTCAACATTGTAAGTTTTAATATTAGATGTTCTAATTACATATTATCTGAGATTACTGTTACGGTTGGATCACATCAAGACAATATGTCGCATTTCATTGGGCATCAAAGGATGTCGTAAAGGTTAACTTGATATCAATCACATGATATCATATGATATACAATTGAAGTCCGATATTAATTGATTAACACAGGGTATTAATAGAATTGAAGAAACGACATGTGTATTTGTCATCAAAAATAATTCTTTGTGTTTACCCTTCTGAGGAGACTGATATGATATTGATATTTGGCATGCGGATGCTTCATCTTGAAACGATGTGTTTCGACCCATTGAAAATGACCATTGAATTTAATCTTTGACTTCAAGGTGGAATAATTGGTTTGGTACATTTATCGTTACAGCCATAACTTTTGTTTTCCTTTGACATTTGCTTCTGATATTTGACATGTGGTGCATGATCTCACCACAACACATCAATAACCTTGATGATAATGAACTTGACTATCATCTCAATTGTATTTAACGAGATTTTCGTGTCGAAGATATGATTTTAAATTTTCAACATAGGCTTTTAATGGTTGGGGCATAGGTGCATCATGTCAAAAACCTGAGTGTTAACCTGTAAATGACAAGTAGGCATATTTAGTCCAATGTAGTATTTGCTCATTGTTTCTTAAAATGGCTATGATATAGCATCCAAACAAGTCAGGAGCCTGTAATTCAGTGGTCGTTTGTTGCATGACAACATGATTTGGGACATGCCCTTTATCATGTGGAAGAATTAATAACCATGTATTTTTAATCTTTACCAAACAGTGATTAAATGCAGATTCAAAATCAAAAGTTTCTCAGCTGCAAAGCTTAGAAAGAACATTTCTGGGTAATTTAGAATATAGATTTTTTTCCATAAACGTCCAGTGCCATATATTTCGTGGATTTTCATTGAAGTAGAATGTCAGGTTTTGGTACCATCCAACATAAAATAATCTTGAAATTATGAAATTTCTGATATGGATCCAAAGAGTTTCGGAGAAATCTTGTAGGAAAAAATAAAATAACAAAAACACCGACAAAAATTCAAAACGGAAAACCCTGATCAATTGGCAAAATCAAAAACTCAAACACATCAAACGAATGGAAAACAACTGTCTTGAAGTTAGTTCTGTTATGAGAAATCGTTTGTATATAATAATAGTTTAATATGTTTTTTTAGAAATGAATAATAATGTGTTTTGTTAGTTGTCCTAGATCTTGGACATAGTTGTGTTGTGGTAGTAGTAACAACATCAACGGTACTAATTTTTCTGCACCAGATGTGCAGTTTGACAATAAATCCTCGACACCAACAGAATAAGAATAGAATAAGAATATTTTATAACAATCAGTTCTGTTATCAACATATAGTGAGCATATTTAGTCACAAAGTGTATCTAATCCTCAACTTTATCATATTTGAAAATCTAAATCATATTTAAAAAATGAAGAGCTTATAAAACAAGAAAATAACAAAAAGTACAGCCAAAAGCCGTGCAAGGAATCAGAACTTTGCATAAGGGAGATATATTCCTTGATTTAAAACTATTTCAAAAATGTTTGTAACAGCACAATATCCCTATTTTGATGCCAGTACCGTAGTACTGGCTACTGGGTTGGTGATACCCTCGGGGGTTAACGGTAGGATACCTCTGTGTTACGTTACAAAAGTCATGTACACAGTGACGTAATTGTACCTAAGGTTTGAATATCTGGAACTGTTCATCTAGCTGTATCAACCATAGTGAAGTTGACAAATGAGAATATCCTGTAGAAAAATATATTATTGTGAATAAGGTAATAAAAAAAAACCCACAACATTCTTGATAAAATATGTTTTACAAGGAGGCCAAAACGATTTAGTAAATTTCATCTTAAAAGGTTGATAAAGTTGATCAAAGGATATTTATTATTCAGAATTTAGATTTAAAGCAATTGTGGAAATTTATATATGTTCTGTAAATTCATTGGTTATAAAGTGTTGAAATTTTCGAAACACTAAGGTGTTTCAACACCCAGATGATTGAATGGCTAGAATTGATACTTTTCTAAATTTTCGGTTTTAATGCTCTTAAACTTCGAATTTGATTTGGCCTTCCAACTGTTTGATTCGTGCGCCACTTGTGAGTCTTTGTAGACGAAACGCGTATTTGGCGTACCCAGTTATAAGCCTGGTATCTTTGATGATTTTTGTATAACTTCAAACTAAGGTTTCAACTCCCTCAGGCAAAGTTGAACTTAGATGAATTTGGCTATTTGTTTTAGGTATTTTTGTCATATAGCTCTTCAACTGTTTCGGCACTTATACATCCCTCGGATTTTAAATGTTTGGCATTGAGCGTTCCTGATGAAGGTAAATCCAGAAAAGCGCTTCGGACGCATGAAATTATTAAACGTGTTGTTTTCAATTTTTTTCAATATTGGATTTATTAACTTGTGAACCTTTATAAACTTGGAATATCATCCATAGTGAAAGCTAGAATTTTTGTTTGAACTACAACGTTGGAAACATTAAAATGACATATGTTATATTTCGACTAACATATTTCTATGGATTTATATTTGTGGACATTCAGGCCATTCATTTTAAAATTGTTGTCAAAAGAATATTGAAAGTTAGCTGGCATTTTTATAACTATTTGAACTAATTTGGTATCGTTCATCACTTACACGTGCAGCAAGTCCGTAACAGTTCTTAATTCTCGATGATTTAGCTCATCTGACACAAAATGGAGTATAAGCTATTGGCATCATTTAACCTCCGTTACGTCCTAAAACTTCCTCAATGATTTTTCACCTAACTTAGTGAACCATTTCAAACACATATGAAATTATTTATCTATAGGTTGTTTCAATGACAGATTTCTAATCATTTGTCTGTTCATTGAGCAATATGGTCATCAAGCCAAAATAGACCATACGGGTAAAATGTGTGTCTAATCACGCCAAAAGATACAGAAAATCTTGCAAGTTTGAAAATATTAAGAATGTCAAGATTTACTTATATTTTACTTCAACAAAAAATATCAGACGACTCTTTATTGTTCGTAAATGATATTTCCATACCAATTTGATGGTTTTTTTGTCAGTTCACATGCAACCAATAATTGATAGACAGAAACAATTACTAGTAACTGCAAAAATGATCAGCAATACCAGATTTTAAAAACATAATGAAATTATTGAAGCATTCAGTTGACGCCTTGTAAAAGTTATTGACCTAAATCGACAACACTGACATGACTGATCTTTACTGTAGGTTAACAGTGGTTAGTGAGTTATATCACCATTTAATAATCAACATTGCAATCATAACTATTACTAGTAGTTAGTGTTAAAGGTATTGTCAAATACCTTGAAAAAGTGAAATAATATTGGGAAATATGACGGGCAAAATTGCTGAAGATTTTTAATCCATTTTTGCATTTTTGTTTTAGAATTGATCTTCACTTCTGAATACACTTCAAAACGATTATTGAGATGAATGATCCTGATTTGGCACATACGTGCAAAAAAGCTTGGAAAGTAAATATCTGTTGTGATAGTTGTTTATACAATTTCTTTTGGTGTTATTGCCCATAGAATATTTTACATACTTTACATAGAAGAAGCAAATCGAGATCTGCAAATGGTTTCATTTGTCGTCATTATTTTAATGACATATTTAAAAAAATGATATATTTGACTCAGACAAAATACTGATCAGTGTTAGAGTTTGAAATATAATTCAGATGGACCCGAATCATTCTGAATTATAATTTCCTGTGTTCATTTCTTTTTTTGCTTGAATCCCATTAGGGTTTCTCGCAAATATGATGGCGAGTTAATGCTATCGAACCTGGGACATTCATGTTAATGATCACACACAATTATTGTTGAGGATTGGAAAAAAAATAATACTCCAGCATTATATCAATTAATTTGGGTGTCTAGAAAGTTTCCCGAGTGCTGCACCTGTAATTTTACTGAATGACCAACTTTCATATTGATTCTGATGTGAAAGTTATTGTGGTTAAATTTATTTGAAAGGATTGTATTATTTCTTATCTATGTTTATAAAATGTTTATTTTATTGATTGATTACTACGATACCACATATGAGTTTGAACCGGATTTGATTTTCCTGTAGAATTTTGACTTATTGATATTATCAGAGGTAACAGAGGTTTACCTATGTTAAAAAAAAATGAAAACAACTCTTTATAAATTGCCGAATATTTGAAAGCCAGGATTTATAAAAACCGGAACAGTTGAAGAACTATATGACCAAAGAGAACCGAAAAAAATAACAAAATCAATCTAAGGTCAACTTTGCCTGAGGAAGTTGAAACCTAAGTTTCTTTATAATTTCAATATAATAATCTCATAGAATAAACAAATCAAGATAAAAAAAAACAAAACCCGATGGAATCACATTCAATGGAGCGAGTCCAGGCAGATGCGTCGACAGAGTCAGGATCTCCTGCTATGTATGTATCACCCACTATGCTCATTCACTCTCATTTAAAGACACGTTTGTAATTACCAAGATAAAGAGAACACAATTTACACTTGTTGTTTTTTTTCCTTTTGAAGTATGGATATTTTCTAGTTTTTCATTTGATTAATGTCGCTTGTATACATCCACTTCATATATTTTTTGTCTGGTAATTTTTAATTGTCAAAAATGCAAACCTGAATGGGTTTCTGTCTCTATTTATTTACAAGTTTAGTACTGTCTCGATTCTTATAATCCTTGCCTTTCAAATAGAAAACTTTGGGCGTTCCTGATGGAGGTAAATCCAGAAAAGCGATTCGGATGCATGCAATTTATAAAATGTTATTTTCATTTTTTACAGCATTGGGTCGATACCACTGCTATCAACTCAGTAGTCAGTACTGACATGATTTATAAAAACTTTTCTAAAATTGTCCGTTTATAAATTAATAAATTATTGAGAAACTAAGGTTTCAATTCCTTAGGCAAAGTTGACCTTAGATGGATTTGGCTATTTCGTTTTAGTCTTTTATGGTCATATAGCTCTCCAACGCTTTCTGTTCTTATACGTCCTTGGCTTTTTTTTCTTTTAAATGTTTGGCTTTGAGCGCTTCTGATGAACGTAAAAGAAAGGAGCTTCGGACGCATATAATTTAAAAATTGTTGTTTTCATTTTTTGTATTCAATGATTTATCAATATGTATTAAAAATAAATAGAAAATAAAAAATCATGGTAACGTTACCCCGTTTTACGAAAAAAAAGTAATAAACTAAAAAGAAAACATCATCATCTGGACATGACACTGACAACCGCAAAAGGCAAATTCCCGGTTTGGTAGTTATTTTAACCACTTTAGATCTAACCTTCCTGGTGTCATTTCACAAGTACATAACGGCATGGTACAGAAGACTTGAAATAAAAATAGAAGGATACTGAAGAGAAACATGTTATAAAAAAGTGATCAATACAAACGTACAATTTTCAAATGCAATAGAAAGAAGAAGGTAAAAAAAAGTCGTTTCCCCTTTTTGGCCCCCTTGAATCAAAAATCAAACAAAAATCAATTTAAATCTGTCATATATTAATAAGATATTAGTCGGACATATCTTTGTATTCACATACTGAATAGTGTCTTTTTTCCTGAGGCCTTCAAACCACTTGCGTTTAATACAGATTTTCAAAAACTGTAATAAAATTCTTATATGCTGTGTGTCATTTATTTTAGGGAGTCTTTTAACTTTGTCTGGTCTGAAATACGCATATAATATAGTCGTTCAAATATCTTAATCTGAATTAAAAACGTTTCCGAAAAAAAGTCTCAAGGAAGAGGATGATTAAATAACATTTCAACTTGTATAGTAGTGAGACGGTTTTCTACGAAATATTACTTAACTTGTACGGTTTGGTTAATATTTAACAGTATATAAGAAAAATGTAGAATGTATTAAAAACAACAAATCCATAATTACGAAATTTGTAAGGCTAATGCAACAGCCATTCATCTTTAAAATAAATTAGTGAAACAGAAATTTCCATTGAAAATAAGTAGAAAAAAAAAAAAAAAAAACAACATCGATGAAAAATGTATTGGCAAAACTTTTTGGAAATTTGGGTCCTCAATGCTCTTCAATTTCGTACTTTATTTGGCCTTTTTGACGTTTTTTTATTCGAGCGTCACTGATGAGTCTTTTTTAGACGAAACGCGCGTCTGGCGTATAAAATTTCAATCCTGGTATCTATGATAAGTTTATTTACAACCACTGGGTCGATGCCACTGCTGGCGGAGTTTTTCTCCCCGAGGGTATCACCAGCCCAGAAGTCAGCACTTCTGTGTTAACATGAATTATCATTGATATGGTCATAATTATAAATTAACTTTTTACAAAACTTAGAATTTTCCAAATACTAAGGCTTTTCTACCTCAGGAATAGTTTACCGTAGCTGTATTTGGCACAACTTTTAGGAATTTCGGGTCCTCAATGCTCTTCAACTTCGTACTTTCTTTGGCCTTTTAAATTGTTTTTGATTCTAGCGTCACTGGTGAGTCTTTTGTAGACGAAACGCGCGTCTGGCGTATAACATTTCAGTTCTGGTATCTATGAGGAGTTTATTGTGTATACATGACTTAAAATTATTGAAAAAATATTCTTTTTATTAGGGTAGAATTTTTTTTTTATCAATTATAATCACAAGCCCCCCTTTGCAAAAAAACATACTAGAAATAGATGGTGCCTAAGTTTTGCAGAACAGGACAAAATCGAGCAAAATTTACTATGAACGCTGCAACAAAACTGAAACAATAAAAAATAAAACTGGCTATATCCTCAATTCAATACAAACTTTAACAGAAACAGTGGTCAGCATCTGGCACTTTACAAAAACATGTTTTTTTCTGAAAACAGGATTTGTGGTCATGTTGGTTCTCTCCCTTACATCATACGGACATCCTAGTCAAATAGATAAAAGAATAGGTGCCAGTCTATATTTGTGATGCTAATTTATGGTCAAATTCTGAAAGGCTTAAATCCTATAAAATACAGGAATCAAACAGTAGATAGGTCTCTGATTATATATAATTGTTCAGAGTTGCTCTATTGGAATTACTCACCGTAACACTTGACACACTGAACTGAATCCTTGGCATTCTGTCATCCTTCTTCCTATATTTTAAAAACTTAGTCACCCGTGTAAAATGACACTAATGGAAGCTTAAGACTGTTTAATTTTCAATACTCCATTGTGCTGACAGGAAAAGAAGAGGCGGAAGATACCAAAGGGATATTCAAACTCATAAGTCGAAGACAAACTGACACCTAAATGGCCAAAAAAAATAATTGAAAAACGACCAAAAAGAAAAAAAAAAAAAAAGTATACAAAACACAATATAGAATACTAAATACGGAACAACACGAACCCTGCCAAACCGGGGGGTGAATTGTTCATTTTCTGTAAATTTACTGTTTTCAAAATATTCAAAACTCATTTTCTACCTCAACATATAGATTGCCAAGACGTATTTAGCACAATTTTTCAAAATTTTCGGTTATTAATTCTCTTCAATTTTGTAATATTTGACTTGGCCTTGCTTTGTTTTGATTCGAGCGCCACTGATGAGTCTTATGTAGACGAAATACGCGTCTGGCGTACCAAGATAAAAGCCTGGTATCTTTGATGAGATTTGTATATTAAATGCATTGGAATGATGAACATTAAACTTTAATAAATATAGTACATAAAACACGTACATGTACATATGACACATTTAACTCAAACATGTACATATGACACATTTAACTCGTACATGTACATATTAAACTCATACATGTACATATGACACATTTAACTCATACATGTACATATATGAGAAGCATAAGCTGATTAAGGGTTTACATGTTTGTACAACTTTCCAATGCACATGTTTTGTAATTATGTCATGCCCGTATTCAAAAACTATCTTATTTCACTACGCAAAATTTTCATAAATAGGATCGTATACTTTATCAACAATAATGGGTACTGATGCTTGATCTGACAGCTGGTCATCTGTATCTGAGGATTCACTGCTTAAATAACTCATTTCGTCGACCTGCTTATTGTTGTTTGTCGTGGTTTTAAGCGGACATACCGGCGTCATGTAATCGTCAGAATCATCGGATTCTGATTCTGTAGACGAAGATGACACGGGTTGCACTTTTTTTTGCGGTAAATGCATATTGTTCAAGCTAGTATAATCAACAACAGTATGTGGGTTAACATAGTCATCATCGGAATCTGCTTCGTCATTCTCCTGATTGTTGACCAATCCATAGTGATCAACGGTAACATATCCTGAATTAGATTTTTGTTCAGCTTTTCTAGACGGAGGGGTTTGTCTATGAAGAACAGTTACACAATCAACTGAAGCATAATCAGACTCCGACCTTTGTTTAATTGCACCAATGCCAGGGTTTCTAGAACCTTTAACAACATCGTCTTTGCTTTTCAAAACAGAATGATCAACAGAGGCATAATCTGATTCAGACCGCTGTTGAATGAATCCAATAGCTGGATTTCTTGTAGTTACCTCGTTATTGTCTTCGTCTTTCAGAAGAGAATGATCTACAAGCGCATAGTCCGATTCGGATATCTGCTGTATTGTTCCAATAGAAGGTTTTTTTACACTGCAGTATAATTTTTCAATTGTTCCATCCATTTTACTATCAGTTTCATCTGACTTGAACTCAACGTAAGGACTCTCCGCTTTAACACTTTTATCCGGAGGTATGTTTGGAAGCACTATCATATAGTCATCTTGTGTGTAATCTTTTGTGTCGTCTATTGGCGTGTTTTCTGTGCGTTTTATTGGAGTCTTTGGAAGGTTTAATTTTGCAGTTTTTATGTAACCGTCTCCATCACTATCAGAATCACTTTCACTACCTGATGTTTTGTTTCCCTTATTGTATATATCATATTTGACTGCCTCCTGCATCGCCTTTCTCTCTTGTATTTTAGGTGAATAGGTAACATTATTAGTCTGTGTTTTCGTTGATTCAGGGAAAGTTTTGGTCCCAACGCTGTAAGGACTACTGCTATATATACTGGGAGGAATTCTCGGCCGCTCAGGAATTTTCATATTTGGCATCGTAGACATCTTTTCTAAATTTGCATGTTTTTTATTCAGATCCTGGTCATCTTTGCTTGTATGCAGTGGTTTTACCTTTAAAGGTTCTACAAGCAGAAATTTAAAAATGAAGAGAACCACTGAAAATTATTTCTTGCAAACATTTCTCTTTCAACGTTTTAAATTGCGTTGGTATTGTTATCAAAATAATTGTATATAAATGGATACAAATAAAAGGAAATGTATACGTCAACCTAATAGCAACCAAACGACACAAAATAGCAAAAAAAAAAAAAGAAATCGGTTCAAGTAGTGTATAGGGGGTAAACAGTTCTTGATCTTTAATATGGATTTGATACGGTGTAGTATTTAAATTGATGGATCGACAGGTTCACAGTGTAGATATGGTTGAAATGTTGGCAACGTTGACAGGGTCGACAGCTAAACAAGCTTCACAAGATTGACATGTTAATGCCAACTTTGTATGTGAAATAGTAATGGTTTCAGTGATTAAGGACGCACCAAAATAAACAATTGTTATGATTTCTTCATGATAACAATAAAGCATATGAAGACCATTAGGCGGGGGCGGTAATGGTTATGGTAAAAAGTCTTAGGTAGGGGCGGTTAAGGTCATGGTAAATAATCTTAGACAGGGGCGGTTAGGGTTAGGGTTAATTGTCTTAAGCAGGGCGGGTAGGGTAATGATAAATAGTCTTAGGCAGGGGCGGTTAGGGTTATGGTAAATAGTCTTAGGCAGGGGCGGTTAGGGTTATGGTAAATAGTCTTAGATAGGGGCGTTTAGAGTTATGGTTAATAGTCTTAAAAAGGGCTGGTAGGGTTATGGTAAATAGTCTTGGGAAGGTGCGGTAAGGGTTATTGTATATAGTCTTACACCGGGGCGGTCAGGATTATGTTAAATAGTCGTTGGCAGGGGCGGTAGGGGTAATGGTAAATAGGCAAGGGCGGTTAGGATTATGGTAAATAGTCTTATGCAGGGGCGGTGAGGTTTATGGTTATGAAGACCATTAGACAGGGGGCGATTAGGGTTATTGTAAATATTTATAGTTATGGAGACCATTAAGCAGGGGCTGTTAGTGTTATGGTAAATGTTTATGGTTATGAAGACCATGAAGCAGGGGTTGTTAGTGTTATGGTAAATGTTTATGGTTCTGAAGACCATCAGGCAGGGATCAATTAGGGTTATGGTAAATGTTTATGTTTATGGTGACCATGAGGCAGGGGCTGTTAGGGTTATGGTAAATGTTTATGGTTATGAAGACCATGAGGCAGGAGCAATTAGGGTTATGGTAAATGTTTATGGTTATGAAGACCATGAGGCAGGGCTATTAGGGTTATGGTAAATGTTTATGGTTATGATGACCATGAGACAGGGGCTGTTAGGGTTATTGAAAATGTTTATGGCTATGAAGACCATTAGGCAGGGGCGGTTAGGGTTATGGTAAATGTTTATTGTTATGGAGACCATTAGGCGCGGGCGGTTAGGGTTATGGTAAATGTTTATGGTTATGGTGACCATAAGGCAGAGGCTGTTAGGGTTTTGGTAAATGTTTATGGTTTTGAAGACCATTAGGCAGGGGCGACTAGGGTTATGGTAAATGTTTATGGTTATGGAGACCATTATGCACGGGTGGTTAGGGTTATGGTAAATGTTTATGGTTATAAAGTTATGAAGACCATGAGGCAGGGGTTGTTAGGGTTATGGTAAAGTGATGTTGAAGCTCGAATCAAAAAAGTTAAAAAGGCTAAATAAAGTATGAAGTTGAAGTTTATTGAGGACCCAAAATTCCGACAGGTTTTGCCAAAGTAATCTATACCTTGAGAACACTTCTTGACACGAGGTATGGTCATTTATTTGGAATGTTAAGCTTAGACAAAAATGGTTCATCGTTTTTGTTTTTAATCTTCAGTTTTTGTATTGCTTTATTGATACATAAATGTAGGTGCCATAAATGTAATTACCTTTTGATCTCCGAGTAAGTGAAATTCCTTTCTTAATTGCTTTCTCCCAATTTATGTATTCATCTTGGCTAGGAGCCATGAACTAAAATAAACAACAAAATAGTTTGTTTTACGTGTATATCATTCTGTTGTTGTTGAAACAAATAAAACTTTAATGCACTTCACATGAAAAGGTAAAATCTAGACATCGAAAATTATTTAATATATATATATATATTTTGGTCTTTTGGAAAATGTTGTTTGTGCTGTATTTAGACCCCTCTACCAAGAAATTTGTTTAGCATGCACACGTATAAAAATTGCGGTTTTTATCCAACGCAATCATAGGTTTGAACGTTGTTTTCAATTTAGATTTGTTTATATTTTTTCGTTTGGGCTTGTATTATATTTGCCTTCGGGTTTATATGATCCGTTCATCCCATTTCGACTCTTCCAAAATTCAAGAGTCTATCCTAAATTGAGGTAAATTATATGGCCTTCCAAATACCGTTTCGATTCCTAACATCACTGAAGAGACATTAATTGTCGAAATCCGGATATGGTGTACAAATTTTTGCACCTCGTGTTTGCGGTATACCATCTTTTCCGCAAATTTATTGTTTTCTGTTTGGTAATAAATCAATAATAAGATCCATTTTGTTACATCTGGTGATCCGTTTATTTGGCAATCGCCAATGGCAGTCAGCAGGGTTTAAGAACATCAGTTGTTCGACCTGCTAGTCAAATGCCTTTTGTTAAAATATACTTTTTCACTTTTTTGGTCTTTTGGAAAATGTTGTTTGTGCTGTATTTAGACCCCTCTACCAAGAAATTTGTTTTGCATGCACACGTATAAAAATTGCGGTTTTTATCCAACGCAATCATAGGTTTGAACGTTGTTTTCAATTTAGATTTGTTTATATATATATATATATATATATATTGGCTTAAACCCACATAATCACAATCCCTTGGCTTAAACCCGCATAATCACAATCCCTTGGTTTAAACCCCCAAAATCACAATCTCTTTGCTTAAATCCACATAATCACAAACCCTTGTCTTAAACACACATAATCACAAACCCTTGTTTTAAACCCACATAATCACAAACCCTTGGCTTAAACTGACATTATCACAATCTATGGCTTAAACCTACATATCCAAATTACATTCCTTCTATAAAGTATAGTTGTAAATGATGGTTACAACACATATTTACAATTTGGTGCGTTCTGCTGCTGCTGCCCCCACCTGACTTGATGCTCTCTTTTTTATTGTTCAGCTTAGATAATTTGCATCTTGATTTTGTTCTTGTCCTGTCTTGTCTATTTACTGTCTTGTACTTTCAAATGCTTAATAGGAACAATTGTAATTACTTATTGTCATCTTCATTTCAATGACATTTACAATTGTGTTAAGTACATGTGCAAGTAAATTTAATTAACTATCAAAATTAATATTCTTAACTTTCATCACACGCAGTACTTTCCAAAATAAACGGTAAATCATAATTACAAATATAAGGAATAATACCTCGAATTTTCGTTTATGTTGACTGACTAAAGAAAACCCGAATGGACTGTGCCCTGGACTATGTAAAAACCTATAACCTGTAATAAAACAAAAATTAAATAAAATGTGAAAAAAATAATAATAAGATGATTAAACTGCACACAATTAAATAAGTTTTAAACATTGTTTAAAAAACTTTGATGGTAAATAGATGCTAAAGAGACAAAACAAAAAAGCCACCAGCTGTTAGATAACTGTTGCCTATATTTAAAGTCATTGCTTTCTTTTTGTATTGTCTAATTACAACAACAAATAAATAACTCCTGTTGCTGCCATTCATTTTCCAAAGGAAATTTGTATATAATTGCTTTTATTTTATTTGCGAAGTAACAACTTTTAATTTTGTGAGATAAAAGTTTGTAAGCCACGCCCAAATTCATATAAAATACGACATTGATGTGAATGAGGAGTGCAGCCACAACAATATTAATACATTATCATTAAGTACACAATACCAGACGAAACATTGAACAACTTGACGGTTAGATATAAAACAAAATTTTGAATACTTACTTTCTAAGGAAAATCCACCTTTCTGTGCTTTATCATCAGGAGAATCATAGTACAGAAATAAATTCCCGTAAACCAAACACCATCTTCGCTGATATTTTATAGACAGTAACTTTTTACCTATGATAAGAAAAGATATACAAAATTATAGACAGTAACTTTTTACCTATGATAAGAAAAAATGTACAAAAAGCATAAAAGTATTCTCCGTTTTTTTTAAAAATATTTTTTCTGTATTATGAAGAGAAAAAAAAGAAAATTACTAAGGATGTATTCCAATAAGACAACAAACTCCCCAAAAAACAATACACTTAAATGTTTTGACTATTTGTACAAAGTAAAAAAGCTGATACTGATGTTTTGACCATTTGTACAAAGTACAATAGCTGATACTGAGTTTTTGACTTTTTGTACAAAGTACAATAGCTGATACTGAGTTTTTGACTTTTTGTACAAAGTCTAATATTTCATATGGATGTTTTGACTATTTGTACAAAGTACAATTATAGCTCATATCGATGTTTTGACTATTTGGAAACAATCCAATATCTCATATGGATGTTTTAACTATTTGTACAAAGTCTTATAGCCCATACTGATGCTTTAACGAGTTTGACAAAGTCCAAAAGCTCACATTGATGGTATGCACGTGATGCATATATTAGTGTAACAGTGAGACTTGATAAAAAGAGAAATGAACAATAGTTAACAGAAGAAGATACACGTACAACAGTCAACAGCGGCAGATACACGTACAGTTGTTAACAGTGGGCGATATACTTACAGTAGTTAACAGTGGTAGATACATGTTCTATAGTAAAACAGCGGAAGAAACACGTACAATAGTTAATAGTGTAAGAGTTAACAGTAGAAGAAACGCGTAAAATAGTTAACAGTGGAAGATACACGTACAATCGTTAGTAGTGGAAAATACACATACAATAGTTAACGGTGGAAGAAACAGGTACAATAGTTAACAGTGGGCAGATACACGTACAATAGTGGAAGATACATGTACAGTAGTATATTTTCAATAAGCTTTTTGATTTCCAAATATTTTGGCCTCGAGCATCACTTAAGAGACATTAATTGTACAATAATTAGCAGTGGAAGATACACGTACAATCGTTAACAGTGGAAAAAACAAGTACACAAGTTAACAGTGGAAGATACACGTACAATAGTCAACAGTGGGAGATACACGTACAGTAGTTAACAGAGGAAGATACACGTTCAATAGTAAAACAGTGAAAGAAACACGTACAATAGTAAAACAGTGGAAGATACTCGTACCAGTGCTAACAGTGGAAGATACACGTAGAATTGTGAACAGTGGAAGATACACGTACAATAGTTAATAGTGGAAGATACACGTACAATAGTTACAGTGAAAGATACACGTAGAATTGTGAACAGTGGAAGATACACGTACAATAGTTAATAGTGGAAGATACACGTACAATGGTTAATAGTGGAAGATACACGTACAATAGTTAACAGTGGAAGATACACGTACAATATTTAATAGTGAAAGATACACGTACAATAGTAAACAGTTGAACATACACGTATGATAGTTAACAATGGAAGATACACGTACAATAGTTAACATTGAAAGATACACGTACAATAGTTAACATTGGAAGATACACGTGCAATAGTTAACAGTGGAAGATACACGTACAATCGTTAACAGTGGAAGATACCAGAAATAGTTAACAGTGGAAGATACATGTACAATAGTTAAAAGTGGAAGATACACGTACAATAGTAAAAAAGTGGAAGATATATGTACAATAGTTAACAGTGGAAGATACCAGAAATAGTTAACAGTAGAAGATAAATGTACAATAGTTAAAAGTGGAAGATACACGTACAATAGTAAAAAAGTGGAAGATATATGTACAATAGTTAACAGTGGAGGATACACGTACAATCGTTAACAGTGGAAGATACCAGAAATAGTTAACAGTAGAAGATAAATGTACAATAGTTAAAAGTGGAAGATACACGTACAATAGTAAAACAGTGGAAGATACATGTACAATAGTTAAAAGTGGAAGATACATGTACAATAGTTAACAGTGGGCAGATACACGTACAATAGTTAACAGTGGAAGATACAGGAACAATAGTTAACAGTGGGCAGATACACGTACAATAGTGGAAGATACATGTATAGTAGTATATTTTTGATAAGCTTTTGATTTCCAAATATTTTATCCTCGAGCATCACTGAAGAGACATTTATTGTCGAAATGCGCATTTGGTGCAGAAAAATTGGTACCGTTAATGTTATTTCATGTGACTAGTTGAAAGTTAATATCAATATTCAATCAAATACAACAATTAATCTACGTACTTGGTCTCTTCTTTTCCAGATAACCTTTCATGGAAGCATTTCCCAATTGTGACGCAGCTACTACAAGTGGCAGATCAGCTAAATAAGAATATTATTGATGTTTGAAAGAGGCATGTATACGTATAACTAAGTTCACATACTACTTTTGAAATAAAAAAAGACAATTTCATAGCTGGTTTTGATACTGATCAAGAAGTAGTTGTTATTGGATGTTGTCTGAAATAAATGTTTTCCGTTCCATGTCAGCAACTTAAATTGAACCTCTTTTGAATTGTTTCACATTCTGTTATCCCATGGCCTTTTATAGCTTACCACACGGTATGCAGTTTGCTCATTGTTGAAGGCTGTACGATGATCTATAGTTGTTTGAATCCTTGTCATAAAAATATATATATTCACAAAAACCACTGAATGTAATATTTCAACTCATAAATATAAACTGATCTAGTCATTACGGAAAGTAAGCAAGATAAACAATGCAACTCTAATATTTGATAATAAATTAGTGAATAAACTCGTATTAAAATAACATGAATGTAGTATGTTGTTGTTTGGTATTTAGAGTTGGTAAGAAAATATCTAATGATTGCATTCTTCAAAATGATGACAAATTGATAAATTTTATTACCTCCCGTTTTTGACATCTTTTGACATTAAAATGTGCCTGAAAAAAGAATGTATATCTTCATAAACTATTGTCATTTTTTAAAAAGAATTAAAATACATATTCCGAGACTGTTAATTACAAAGAGCTTGTGCCAAAGCCAAAACAACTCGTATTGAAATATCGGAAAAATAATTAACTGTGGATATATGTCGGGCTATTTGCCAATTAGACAGTTACCGTGTTTTTGTTGTTTTTTTGTTGTTTTTGTTTGGAGGGGGGAGGGGGAGGGGGAGGGGGTGAAATTTGGCTTTGAAAGACATTTGAAACGAACTTGATTAAATTTCTCTCTTCCTCTATATATACATGTATGTTATTATTCCTCTAAAACTCATATATATATAAAAGCCCCAGTTTTGATACATGTTAACAGGAAACATGATATAAGTGTACGTATGTGGAGATAGTATCTACATATGTTCAATAACTTAGCTAGTAATTCTTTTTATAGGTATAAGCTCTATGATAAAAGAGGGATGAAAGATACCAGAGGGACAGTCAAACTCTTAGATCGAAAACAAACTGACAACGCCATGGCCAAAAATAAAAAGACAAACAGACAAATAATAATACAGATGACTCAACATAGAAAACTAAAGACTAAGCAACACGAACCCCACCAAAAACTAGGGGTGATCTCAGGTGCTCCGGAGTGTAAGCAGATCCTGCTCCACATGTGGCACCCGTCGTGTTGCTTATGTTATTACAAATAAATAGTCTGATAACCTGTAATACAATCCCTTCTGTTCTCTAACCGTTGTGCATATATTGATTGTTAATGTTAACTCGGAAGCAGATGTGTTAAAGTCAATTAATAAAGCCCGAGTTCACTTGACCAAATTTGCTAAATAGTAGCTTGAAAACACTATAAGATGATAAGCGACGGACCAATGTATATATCATCTGATTTGGTGCCGGAACTTTCAAATAACAGGAGGATTTACATCACACATTCTAATAGTGTTGTATTCGTTCATACTAATCACAATTTGTTAAAATTTTCACAATGACACAACTGTGTGAATTTTTTGTAAGTAAGTTGAGTGATTTATAGACCAACGTGAGGAGACTGTAATTTCAAAGGTGTTTATACTCAAAGACTTTTTAATCATTAAATTAATAGCATAATACTCAAGATTATGTAATACTGTACCAATTAAACATTCAAGACTAATTAAACATACAAAATTTTAAGTGTTTTCTTTCTTCATTCTAAGTCAAGTTTTTAAAACCCGATATATTTGAAAAATTACTTCCTTATCGCGAAAATTAATTAATGTTGACCCTAGTCCAGGGTCAATCAGTGCAAGGTCTGAAACAATATCAATTATCGACTGCACGGCGTATAATAACAATACCCTATTATCGGCTATTGATACGGCAGATACACGTGGGATCTCGTTTCATGATTGCTTTGTCAGATAATTGTCTGCGTTTCCGATCGTCATCGTCATACAATGGGTTTTGAAATTATGTACAGTAGATTTTGCCTGTTTCCAATCGTCGTACAATGGATTTATTATGTCCAGCAGATTTTTGAATTTGTTTCATATTGCCATTGTCGTACAGTGGATTTTGTACTTATAATAGACAAGAAAGGATATAGGGTATCCGATGTTCAGCAGATTTTTACCTGTGTCTCCGTTGTACAGCAGATTTTTGCCTGTGTTTCCGATTGCCATTGTAATACAACGGTTTTGATCTCCGTCCTACTTATTGCATCTGCCTCCACGATAATCGGCAATAGGATGTCATAACGTCATCTCAATATCCATTCATTAAGATTTTTTAATATTCGACATAGTTTACCCAGTAAATAACATGTTTATGTTGTTAATTATTCAGATTTAGGTTCGGTTACAAAAGTGGACAATACGTACACAGTATTCAAAATCAAAAGATCTTTTTTAAGGTAAACGCACATATTCTAAGGATATTTAAATGTCCAATATATATATTCTAACAAAAGTTAAGAATGAATATTTTATTATTATAAAATAAAACGGCTTAAATAAGATTGAAATACGTTTTATTGTGTTTGGTTATTTTCTCAGTAACGTATACCTCACAATTTTGACTAATATTGTTGTTATGTTATTATATTTCATGGACAAACAAGCTACAAGCCTTGCGTTTACTGCCTGGGACATATATTCTATAACGAGAACAGCTAGGTCCTTCGCCATTGGGATTTTTTGATACAGCATAACACATAAAACCAAGACAGATATCAGCAGTACGAAAAGCTTATAAGTACTTAGCCATGAAGCAGTTCAACCAAATTTGATCGAATACAACATAACATATTGCACCAAACAGATACATGTATCTCTGATATATATTGTAACACCACCGAAACTGATCTTGAAAGCAGTGTACGGATGTATAAATACCCTGCCACGTCCGGTCAGTGTTTTTGTTACTTATTTTTCTGCTTTGTATCAATCTGATGAGTTAAGCCCCTTTTAACTGATTTTTTTGCCCCACCTAGGGGCATTATGTTTTTCGGTCTGTGCGTCCGTTCGTCCGTCCGTCTGTCTGTCCCGCTTCAGGTTAAAGCTTTTGGTCAAGGTAGTTTTTGATGAAGTTGAAATCCAATCAACTTGAAACTTAGTACACATGTTCCCTATGATATGATCTTTCTAATTTTAATGCCTAATTAGAGTTTTAAACCCAATTTCAAGGTCCATTGAACATAAAAAATGATAGTGCGAGTGGGGCATCCGTGTACTATGGACACATTCTTGTTATAGTTTGTTCATATGTTGTACTGTTATACCACTGTCCCAGGTTAGGGGATGGTTGGGCGCCGGCTAACGTGTTTAACCCCGCCACATTCAGTATGTGCCTGCCCGTCAGGTGGTAGTCATTTGTTTCTGTATATCATATTTGTATTTCGTTTATTGGTTTTTTTTAACATAAATCAGGCTGTTAGTTTTTTCGTTTGAATTATTTAATATTTGTCATTTCGGGGCCTTTTATAGCTGACTATGCGGTATGGGTTTTGCTCATTGTTGAAGGCCGTACGATGACCTATAGTTGTTAACTTCTATGTCATTTGGTCTCTATTGGAGAGTTGTCTCATTGGCAATTCTAACATGACGTTCTTCAAACGCTTTGAGTACACAACCGTGGTAAAATATGAATATATTGTTTGGGCTGTTCCGATCGTACTCCCGCGTTATATGCTTTTTTATGAATGAGCTACCCGACGTCATAGAACGATGACGTAAGAATATAAGCATTTTACGGGAAAATACACGCTTGTGAAACCGAAAATCATCACAACAAGGAAACGTAAACAAACAATGCTAAAATGTGTTATTTAAGCCATTTTTTGTTTCCATATAAGACATATAAGTACAATTTTCATTTAGATTAATCCAAACCTATCTAAATATGTTATTGTAAATAGTTTAAGCATGTCATTTATTCAGTTTGCTCCGGTCTTTTACGCCAATTTAATAGTGCCTTCATCTAGAGCGCTTCGATCAAAAACAATTGCCGTATTTGTCCTATTAGAATCGAAATAATTCATGGGGGCTAGCCCCCATGAATTATTTCTTAATTATACCACATCTTCTTATTTTTATATTTTATTAATATTGTAAACATTAAATCTGTATGTATGTGTATGTTACAGTACACATTGGAATTCAGTAGGATCCATAATCCTTCTAGTACATCTTCTTATTTTTATATTATGTAATCAAACTTGTCTAAATAAAAAAAAAAGAGGTAGGACCAATTTCCTATAAATTATGTATACCATATCAGAGCCTTTCTCTAACTAAAAGTCAACCAGACTTAAACAGGAATTCACATAAGTTCAAATGAGATACTTTTAACAACACTTTAGTTTTCATGTATTTAAGACAACAAAAATGTTAAATTTTTAATTATGTCTCAAAATTAATATTCAGGAGACAATCTTGTTAATTTATGCAAACTCTGTTTCCATGAACTCTGTTCATGATGTAAATTCAAAACTGTTCGCTAATAAAAAATACTGTAAACAAAACATTGTCGAATGTGATTACAAATAAAAGAATTTTAAGAGAGTTTATGTATTTGACCTTATTTTGTTTGTTATAAAGTATTGAAAGTGGTATCATATTATCATTTATCTTGTTTTCCACTTATCAAGTGCACCAGGAAAATAAAATAATATAAACATCCAGTAGAATCCAGAATCATACTAACTATTAATTTTAGTAATATCCTGGAATCAACTAGAAATATAGTACAGAATCCTCCCATTACAAATCTAGATATCCCAATTTCTACCAGTAGATGTTGGAATTCCGATTTGGACTAGGATGATTCTGGATCCTTCTGAATTTCAATTTGTAACATTTATATACATATAAAAAGTAATAACAGTGTACACTAAACTATTACTCAAAACGGTACTTATCATGTCGTTCCAATGTACGTGTTATTTAAAAATGTTTATAATTTAGCATTTATAATATCTCTTTTAAATATTCAAGTCTGTGAAACAAAAATGACCTTGTTTTAATTTTATAACAAACATATATCTACAGTCGTTATAATACTTGTCTTTAATTTCCTTTAATAGGTATTCTATATATTTTACTGTATGTGTACATGACATTCTTTAATAGTTTCTAGGAAAAAGAACATATAAATGAAACAGAAACTCGACAACAATTTATATCATCTCTAACGCGTTAAAATATCTATATAGTATTAAAAAGGGGGAACTATCAAAGTCTTTAAATATACAGCCATGGACCATTTTGCACCAGCCTTATACCAGTTCATTATAACCATAACTGACCTTAAACGTATTTTGTGAAAACTTTACATAAACAATACTATTGTTAGCTGGAAAAAATAACTTAACTGTTGATTTTAACTCAAGCATGAAAATAAAAATGACAACTTACCTGACATGTAATGTTTTAATTTCACTTGTTTTTGCTCAAAATGTAATATAGTTTAAATCAGATTTCCCTTGTCGTTATAACTTTGTATCCGGAAATATTATAAAATGGAGCATAAGTGTACTCAAGGATATTGTAAATCGAAACAAAGGTACATATAAGTCGTGTGTATTGTATGTTAAATGTGTAAACCGGAATCTACTTTACCTGCTATCGTCTAAATTTAGTAAGATTTTATCTATTTTTTTTCAAAAGGATTTAAATATGACACTTGTGTTATCCTCTTTTAACCTCGCGGCTTCCACTCAGTAATAAGTCAAGCCGACACATGATGTCAACTTCCTAATCCTGCTGAACGTTCTCGGAATTCAGCCATTCATAAAATGTGACAAACTGGATTTCCAAAGGGTGTATACACATTCTTTAACCAGGGGATCCGCAAAAAGGTTAATCAATTACAATTGACTTACTTCACACATATCATATAACCTTTAAACGTGATGTGAAATATCCAAAGAAGTCATAGAAACTGGTATTTACATTTGGACATTTTTATACCCTATATGACACATATATATTTCTATTGGTTGATGTATAAATAATTAACTATATGTCTTGAATATGTATGAAATATTTGTCACTGGACGTTAAGCAAACAGCAATCAAATCAATCTTAATAAAGATAATATGAACATATGTTTCTTAACTAAAATTGGTTTGGATTGCTTCCCAATTTGTGATTTCGGGGCCTTATAAAGCAGACTATACGGTATGGGTTTTACTCATTGATGAAGGCCAACACGGTATGTTGAACTATATAGTTGATTACATCCACATTATTTTGGTCTCCTTTGGTGGATAATTGTCTACTCTATCATACTACATTTCAACTTTTTAAAGGATTTTTTTAAAACAGATTCGAAAAAAGAAATGAACAGCGATAGTGTGTATACAGATTGAATGAAAGTAAACGTATATAATTAATTTTTTTTCTACAGATTTTTAATATAAGGGGGAGTCTTGATGCTACGTATTTTGTAGTGCACGGTACCGGTAATTCGGTTCTTCTACAACAGTGGATGGTATACGGTGGAACTAATTTCGAATTATCAGGAAGTGGTTTTAATGAAATCATTCATGTACTTTATCTTTGCATGCTAGAAATGTATATCTGACTAAATAAATGTGTATTTTGATTCATACTCAGCAACTTGTGATTGAACTATTTTATTACAATACCTTTAAAGTGCTGAACGTGTACCTATATGCTATAATATAAAACCAAGGATATATGGTATTATGGTCGATGTTGGTACCACCAAAGGACGTCGATATAATAACTAAGTGCTTCCACCTTATTGTATCATTTGATTGCCATACTTTTACAGCATTGATTTATACTACACTTTTGAACATGTTGAAGTACCAGTTTTGTACTTTAAATTTATTGTGTAATACTATTTGTGTACATGTGTATAGTAGTAAATTGTTTTGACCTTTTTTAAGTAAAACCGAAATAAGTTAACTGAATTAAAACAAAAAAAGTACTACTTGTATATATTTTTAAGACTAAATACTGCTTTTGATACATACAGATAGTTTCTCATAATATTGGAAAATTGATGAATTTGTATTTACTACAAGTAACGACATGGTACCTGTAGTACATTAAAATTCTAGACGGTTCAAAAAAGTGTTGTATAATGAGGTCATAGGTTCAGCAAATACAAGATTATTAATAGATTAAACCATTGCCATGACTTCAGCATATTCATTTACTGTAGTTTCTTTTTATGTAATCAACATTTCCTAAATTTGTCGCTGAAATGGACCAAGGGAATTATATTCAATTGTTTCTTTTGTGTGCTTAATAATTGGCTAATTTGTTGATTTCTGTTCACTAATGGAATTATTTCAAACTTTTACCTATTTTTTTTTTACTTCACTGGGAATCGAACCCCTCCTTAAACTCTGTTATGTATGACTGATATCAAACACATCGACGAAACCTCTCGGCTACCAATTGATTTCAAATAAAATGTCTATTTTATATGTATCAATATGAACATAAATTAAAATTGAAATATGATACACATCGGTACAAAGGACACATATTTCTTCCACCTTTATATATGTTACAGCCATTTTGGTAAGTTCTGCAATGGATTGATCCGGATAAAGAACAGAAATTTCGACTGCCGCGTGAAATTAGGGTATGTTGGATAGGGACAGAACAATTGCCTTCAAACAGACCACCTACAGAATGGTCAAAGAGTTATTTACTAGCGGCATCGTATTCAATTTCCACATTCAGAAAGAATGCAAATTTATACATCCTGCACAGCCAAACGGATTCCCCTCTATAGCATGGTTTTCGACATACAAGGCAATGTTCGGTTAAGATGAATATCTTCTTTTTCTCTGCCTCAAGATAATTCTTTGGTCTTTACAATCAGACGAACTAACGTGACAGTAGTTAACCGTTGTTAAAATCTCGAAAATCGAACAAAAAAGCGACAAATAAAGCCAAAAGATGAAAATCAACCTATCATGCTAATGTTACTTTGAATATATTGGTCAAACGTTGAGTGTTTTATCATAAAAAGTATTGACAAAGCTGAATGTGAGATGGTCCGGGTTTCACCAAAATGTAGTTGTTGTACCAGATTTTACGCCAAACGACGTGTTTGCAAAAAAAATCAAGACAAATGTGTAACAAACCTTCCATTCAAAATTTTATGAAATAACAAATAATTGTCGAGCTCGGTGCTTTTTTGAATTTTGGATTTTACGGTTGCAACTATCTGTTTAACTGGCTACGCTCCGCGTCGTCAGTTAAACTGCATATAGGATCATCAAATCCCAAAATGACGGTGATAACTCTTCAAATACAGTGCTGTTATTCCTTAAGTGGCTCTCATACAGTTTTAAGAAGCCCTAATGTTGGTTATTCCTGTCGCCATTATGGCAAGCTGTTTTACTATTTATTCTAATTTCAAGATATCAAATAAACTTTTAAAGATAACTCATATAGTTTATAAGATATTTTATATAGTTTATAAGATATCTTATATATTTTATAAGATATCTCATATAATTTTCTTTATAAGATATCTTATAAATTATATGAGATATCTTATAAAATATATGAGATCTCTTATAAAGTATATAAGATATCTTATAAAAAATATTTATAAAATATCTTATATACTTTATAATATCGTATAAACTTTAGAAAATATCTTATAAAGTATATAAGATATATTATAAACTATATAAGATATCTAGATATCTCATATAATATATTAGATATCTCATATGATAAATAAGATATCTCATTTAATATATAAGATATCTTATAAAAACTAGATTATATAAGAAATCTCATATATAATATGAGATATCTGATTATATATCTCATATAGTTTATAAGATATCTTATGTAGGATATCTTAAATAGTTTATAAGATATCTCATATAATTTTCTTTATAAGATATCTTATGAATTATATGAGATATCAAATGAAATATATGAGATCTCTTTTAAAGTATATAAGATATCTTATATAAAAAATATTTATAAAATATCTTATATACTTTATAATATCTTATAAACTTTAGAAAATAGCTTATAAAGTATATAAGATATCTTATAAACTATATAAGATATCTAAATATCTCATATAATATATTAGATATCTCATCTTATAAATAAGATATCTCATTTAATATATAAGATATCTTATAAATGCTAGATTATATAAGATATCTCATATAGTTTATAAGATATCTTATGTAGGATATCGTAAATAGTTTATAAGATATCTTATATAGTTTATAAGATATCGCATAAAACTTATAAGATATCTTATATAATTTTCTTTATAAGATATCTTATAAAGTATATAATATATCTGATATAAAAAATATATATCAGATATCTTCTATACTTTATTAGATAGCTAATATACTTTAGAAGATATCTAATATACTTTATAAGATATATTATAATCTTTAGAAGATATCTATAAAAGTATATACGATATCTTAAAAAGTTTATAAGATATCTTATTAAGTTTATAAGATATCTTATAAAATCTAGATTATATAAGATATCTTATATATTATATGAGATATATGAGATATCTAATATAATATAAGATATCTTATATATTATACAAGATATCTTATATATTATATATATATATATATATATAAGGTATATATAAGGTGCCATACCCTTTTCAGTAATTGTACTCACAGAAAATAAACTAATCAGACATCAAAGAATTGATTAAAGAAATTGCCAATAGTTTTTGTTATGTCAATTTGTATATTTATTTTATAAATATGTTCGTTTGGAGATGAAGTAAACCGTAGAATAGTTCTTTCCCTTGTAACAGACGGGTATCTTGTAGGCATCTCATTGTTTATCAGTTGGGGACTAGCTGTACCCCTCAAATATCAGATTTATTCCTGGACCCTTTTTTCCCCTTGTTTATGAATCATAGTTTATGGCTTAACTTCATAAATATCAAACAGAACGTCACTTAATATTTATTTCAATGCCTGTAGATATTGAGACGATATATTTTCTTAAATATTCAATTTTTTTTCAAAATATGTAAATGGAATTTATCAACATCCACTCACTCTTATAAATCCAACTTTAATGGTGATTAGAAATTGATGTAGAAATATCATTACATCTTCATACCAAACTTTATGACAAACGAGATTTCTTTTTTACTTCCGTATTGTCAATTTTGCTCTGCTTGATGTTGATGTTCTCTTTGTTCCTTCTCATACATGTACATTTCTCAGTTGGTTCCATACTTGCGTGCTAATTTTCAGTGAAAGTTATCTTTATATTACTAAAAACCTTTTACAACAGGAAAATACATATACAACTCGAAAAAAGTATCGCATCGACCAGATTTTTTCTCACAAACCAAAATATTATAACATATTATATTATTTATGCACCGAAAGTATATAAATGATGCCATTTTGTTATCGACATTTCCACAGGCATAAGTTATTTAAAAAGTTTGAAGAAAAATAACGAATCTAAGTATATTAAAAAACAAGAGGATGTCGTGGGTACTAAAAATGGACAATGCTTAACTTTGGATGCTAACAGAAAGAAAACTTCAAAAAAACAATTCTTTTTATTTGGAAAACTAAAACATGCGTCAATGGTTACAATAGACATTTCAATGCCCAATACCGAATGAAACAACCGTTCACACGAATCACAGGTGCTAATCGTCTTTTTATTCCATGGATCAAACGTTACCTTTGTGTTGTGGTAATCTTTGCCATTTCTGCTGCAAACCTTGAGCTTATTCTAAAATAGCAGCACTCTCTCATGTAGCACGACGATCAATTGTGTCCCAGATTTGCTCAATAAATGATTAATCTCAAGCTTTGCACCAGGAATGGCTTAGACTGCTACAACAACAAATTTAATTTCTGGACCATGATATGGGAAGACGGTGATTTGTGTGAACGTTGGATTAACTCGCTATTAAACATTAGTGTGTTTATTGTAACCACTGACATATATGCTCATTCCACAGAAAAGATAATTGCACTACTGAACTTTTCTATTTGTAAGGGCTTACAGATAAACATTAATAATATTCAAGTACCCAATGACTCCTCTTATTTGATAAAAAATGTACTTGATTATATTCGTTATTTTTCTTCAATCTTTTTATTTATGTATGGCTGTGGACTCTTTAATAACAGAATTGCATAATTTGTACACTTTTGGAGCCACAAATAATAGTGTATGTTATAATATTTTTGTTCGTGAGAAAAATCAGGGTGGTGCAATAGATTTTTCAGGTGTGAATGTTCAAAACGTTTACTAAATGATATCACAAATATGATTATTTATTGTAGCAGTATGATATTTTTTGCAGATCGGAATTGAAAAATATTTTGGACTTAAACAGATTTATAGATAAAGTTTATATTTATAGTTTGTTGTTAAAGAAAGACTGTATTTTTTTCGTGCACATCTATTCGCTAATTTATATTTTAAAACAGACTTACAGCGCATAGACTTGAAAGTGTAGGTAAAAGAAGATCTTTGGTTAGCTTGCTTGCTAGTTCAACCATGAAATCATTATTAACTTTCAAATGGGAGGAGCAAAGTGCCATCAACCATCTAATTTAAACATTCTTAGTAATGATCTGTTTAATATTTATACATGAATAAAATTGAAAATGGAAACGGGGAATGTGTCAAAGAGACAACAACCCGATCAAAGAGCAGAAAACAGCCCAAGGCTACCAATGGGTCTTCAACACAGCGAGAAAATCCCGCACCCGAAGGCGGGCTTCAGCTGGCCCTGAAACAAAAAGGTGTAATAGTTCAGCGAAAATGGACGTCATACTAAACTCCGAAACAAATAAATGAACCAAATTAAAAAAACATACAAGACTAACAAAGGCCAGAGGTTCCTGACTTGGGACAGGCGCAAAAATGCGGCAGGGTTAAACATGCTTTATGCAAAGCTTTATCTGACATTACTTCCAACTATTGAAATGGCCTTTTTTTCGAATAGAACTTCATCGTGAATGAAAATTCGTTTGATAATCTACATTAAAAAAAAGAGTTACAGGTCGTTTGAACATAGGTAGTTTTCATTCAACTGTCTTTTAATGCATTCCATGCATATATAAAAATGTTTTTTTCTGTCTATCCATCATTAATGTATATACATTTTTTTAAACAGAAATCTTTTACTTTCACATAGAAAAGAAGCAAAGCTAAAATGATTGATATCATAGTATATAGTATTGAATCTGTTATTTAGGTGAAAATAAAATAAAATAAAGAAAAATCTCCAACAACCGAAATTTGAAAAAATACTTCATTAAAAAAATACCAAATGCATTTATACCTAAATCTTTTATTTCATTTCGTCAACATTTTTTTTTCTTTTTTTAAAGGAGGAGGAGGAGGAAATGCTTTCAATTGAAAATATCGTCGAGTTTATATACATCTAGATATAATACAACTTATAAACTGACGACCATGCAATTGAATTCATATAGAATTGACCGTTGGTTTTCCTGTTTGAATGGTTTTACACTAGTCATTTTTTGGGGCCTTTTATAGCTTGCTGTTCGATGTGAGCCAAGGCTCCGTGTTGAAGGCCGTACTTTGACCTATAATGGTTTACTTTTACAAATTGTGACTTGGATGGAGAGTTGTCTCATTGGCACTCATACCACATCTTCTTATATCTATATAGAATATTTCCAGCAATTTTCAGTGCTTTTCTATTTATTCAGATTTAAAAGTTGACAATAACAGACTAGTGATACAGTAGATGAACTACTCAGATCACTTGGACTCCGAGGCCCCAAACTAAATACGTCGACGAGAGACAAAACCGTTACAGTCACTTGTAGCCAAATATTTGAGGAATGCATTGAAAGAACATTAGTGTATTGTTATAAAAAATTACCAAAAATAGCTTGGAATACGACATGTTGCGTATCACTATATACGCACTTAGTATATGTACAATCTATATGGAATCATGCCAATCATGAGATGCACATTGGAATATAGTAAGTTCCCTTTATTTTACACCCTTCATGTTTTATTGTTTCTTTTGTATCATTTTAGTTATTTCACCCCAAAAATAAGTAATTATTTGCTTTATATCTACTACTACTATGTAATGTTATTAACAAAGGACGAGAATTGATCTTTCTGATAAGACATATTTGAAAAAAATGTTTTATTTTTGTACCAAAATCTTTTATCTCTACAAGTTTGACAGTTATATATAGTGTACAGGTAACATTTCATGTACCCAGCATTAAAGGTCGATGATATAAATAATGGAAACAGTCGAGTAAGGCTACAGTCACAATCACTATTTACACACTGAAATGCGTGAACTGTTTCCTTCACTTAAAGCACTCTAACAAGTGTGGACTGTTTCCTGTAACAAGGATTTGTATAGTAACTATACAAATCCTTGCCTGTACTTACATCACCGACCTTTAATGCTTAAGATGTAATATTGGCAACTATTCTTTTGACTTCTGATTTTATTTATTTTTTCTGAACACGGATCCACCATCTATTATGCATTTTATTTTGTTTGTATTTTCTGTTTTCCTATTTGTATTAATAGTTTTTGAAATCCTCAGGGAAGATTAGCATGTCATTTTTAAATGAGTTACCTTCGTTAAATAAAGAATTTTATTATTTTTATTATCTTCAAAACCCTCATCATAATTTAGTTTTAAGAAACAAAAATCAAATATGCTAAACAGATTTCTGCAAAGCACAATATTATATAAATTGTAAGAAGCCGATTTAAAATTGATACATTATATCCGTATTTCCATTGAGTGATTCTGGAAAACAAATAATGGAAATCCGAAAGTATTCAGTTTGGTAAACGGATAAACACTTAACTCCGAAACAGTGCCGAAGTTCCTTTGCTAATATTATAGGACAAATGAGCAAAGCATAGCGGAGACGACGTTACCACTGTTTCGGAGTTGGGAAATGCACAAGCACAAGCCATTCGTTTGATGTGTTTGAGCTTTTGAATTTGCCAATTGTTAAGGGACTTTCCGTTTTGAATTTTCCTTGGAGTTCGGTATTTTTGTTGTTTTACCTTTAGAAACATTCGGAAAATGAATCTTATTATTTTAACAAATTTATACCTATTTGCATACGGAATTGTTTTTCCTCAATTATAAATATCATATCAAAGTATGTCATGTCAGTAAAGAAGCTATGATGAAACATTTATCGTATCTGCATAATTCGAAAAGAACTACCTGATACTGTCAAACTCATCCAAAATCATCTGTATCATCTAATTGCATTGCAATCTTTTTTGATCGAACAGACTTTACATTTTGTGCACGATAGTAACTGGTCCAGGATTGTAATTGACATCTGAGCTCAACAAAATTGTTAAAATCAGTCTTGACTGGCTTAATTTTTCTGTATGATAATTTTGTTTTGTCTTGGTAGGCCATTGTGAGTAGTAATATTTCGATTGCGAAGTCATATTTAGATTCTCTGGATAACATTGAACATTATAGTAACCTAGATTTTCTGATTGACAAAAAATTATCCAGTTGCTTAATGATTTGAATAGTAGATATATTACTATCAATAACAGATGTGAAGTCCAACTTTGTAGTCCGCAAAAAGTCAGATAAATGGCGGTGATCATTGATTTAGTAAACATTTTCACAAAAAATTGAGTCACTTGCGATTGTAGAAATTGTAAAGTGACAATGTCAGTGGTTCTTCTTCATGGCTTTGATCAATGAAGGCCAGCTATGGTTATACGTTTTGAACGATATCGCATCACGCCTAATTTGCATATATTTAAAATGTAAGAAGACCGTGCAAGACCCTCATGGGTAGTCAAGGTCGTTAAAAAAAAACCCTCGTCGTAAGAAGAAAACAAGGGAGAAATTAAACATCATGCGTACACGGAGAGTCAACACCATGGCCATTTGGTTTCAGGTGGACAATTATCTTATTTGCAATCATACCACATCACCTTATCATGTATGATTGACAAATAATCATTACTTTTATCACGCAAGCTAAAAAGGGAAATAAGGTAAAAGTATTTAAAGATTTTCCACTATTTCATTTTTTATGAATGGAGAAGTTTGATATCAACATATCTTTAAAACCTGCTATGGGAATTCAATAAAATTTGGAAGGGTAATTAGGTACAATTTGCAGAAGCAAAAGTTGATTTTAGGGGTTTCCCATGGTAAAACACAGACTTAGCCATTACTCCATTTGAAATGTCATCAACATGTCGCTTGCAATTTCCATTAGAATTAATTAAAACTTTAAAGGATTATTTTAAGTATCATTTGTAGATATGCAAATAGCCAAAGAATTTATTTTATTTATTTACAAAACTGACTTTGTGGTCTTTCATGATAAAACAAGGACTTAGCTATTTATGTGTACTCTATATATATCTTATCACTAGCCAGTCAACACTGAGGTTGTGAGTTCGAATCCCGCACAGGTTATGTGCAATCGACTCCAATCTTAATTGACTAGGATTGTCAGTTTTCCTACCGAAGGTTGGTGGTTCTCTCCGGGTACTCCGGCTTCCTCCACCAATAAAAACTGACCGCCACGAAATAGCACAATAGTGTTGAAAGTGGCGTTAAACACCAATCAATCTATCAATCTATATATATCTCCTTTCTGAGGAGTACCACTATGAGTTTTGGTGTAATTAAGACATTTAGTACATGGATCAGGCATATATTAATGTTGGCATTAGCTTATACAGTTCGCAGTAAGGCTGTGATGAGCTTACTAACACAATGTTAACTACCTTCCAATTCTGTTTGTATGGGGGACGGGCACTTTAATCCTTTTTGGTAGGGATAAGCAGCCTTGAAATCCAGTTCCCTACCCTTTTCATATATTTTGAATATTTAAAAAAACATACCCTATCATATTTTTTTGCCTAAAAATTTAACTATCATGAATATGTTATTTCCTAGAGAGATAAATATATTTGACATACATGTATATCTGATCATGATGCTTTCACACAGTCGTTTTAATATCATCTTTGAAAAGTACGAAATGTGATTGTTTTAGATACTTACGACATATGACAACGTAATCAAATATTTCCTCTAAATTTTTTGCCAAGTCCCATATATGCGACTGCCATACAAGTGAGAGGTTTAGCTAGCTTTAAAACCAGGTTTAATCCACCATTTTCTACATAAGGAAATGCCTGTACCAAGTCAGGAATATGACAGTTGTTTTTCATTCGTTTGATGTGTTTGAGCTTTTGATTTTGCAAATTGTTAAGGGACTTTTCGTTTTGAATTTTCCTTGGAGATCGGTATTTTTGTTGTTTTACTTTTCATATATTATCAAACTTGAAATCTTTACAAATTCCACAGACTTCTCATTACAATTCATTACAAATTAGACACCTCCCCTCCCCAACCTCATGGAGCCTTCCACAAAACATATATTATAAAGTTTTCATAGTTTGCATGGTAAAGTATGGACAAAACCATTTCTACAATTGTAATTTGTCATTATTAACATATCTTCTATATGCAGCTTCCATAGGACTTCACTTATTTTTTTTATTATTAATTTTAGTGATTCCACCATTGATTACCATAATCTGTGGAGGCGGTCTCCATACATTTCGATTCTCTTAAACAACTTTTGTGCACATTAACAAACATAGCTTTGTCTTGCATGGATAGATGGTTGCATCTGGGTTAAAAACTAAAAAGAATGAAAAATAGTTATCATACCTCCAAAATGGTATAGGGGTGTAAACATGGTAAATAAAAATGATAGATTTTTCTTAAACTTTGCACAGTTGATCCCAACAATACGTTCATTGGAAATATATAGAAAAAAGTTGGGGGTTACCTGTTACCGTCCATTTCAAAAAATTATGAGCTCCAGAAAACTCCAGAAAAGTTTTGTAACGATATATAGGAACAATTACTCCTTTTTCTCTACCAGTCATATTTTAGGAATAAATGAATGTAAACATTTCTCATTTAAAGACATGAAGTTCCACAATTTTAAGGCTTAAAAACTGTTGCCATAAAAACATGTGCATCAGTTATATCTCAGATGTTAAATTCTCCAAAAGAGTATACTTGTATAATGTGAATTTTTGTTTCACTAGTAAATATTTGCTGCCAAAATTGATTTAAAGAAATGTACTTATATATAATATATATATTCATACGTCTGCTTAACGGTGGTAACTGTTTTAGCATAGCCTGATTTGAATTAATCTTCATTGTAGACTTTTTAATTCTGTCCATGAAAAGTGTAATGTGCTAGTAAAACAGATAATGGTACATGTATAACTTTATTAATCATAATTGATTCTGTAAAGTGAATACCATTCAATCAAATAGTAAATTGTTTAAAATCTATTGTTTAATGTGAAACTTCAACCTACATTATAATATTCTACACCGCTTGATATATGTCTAGTTTTAAACAACTAATTATAATTAACAATTTATACTTGTTTCCCTTTATTATAACCAAATGCTGACCAGTCAACAGTAATATCATGAAAAGAGGCCTAATAAGCAATACAAATTTAAAGACATTTTATGACAAGTTATGAAGACAGGACTTCCTGCTTGCAAGTAAACCAGTTTTGTTTTTCCCTCATGAAGATTCTGCAGGATCAAAAAGGTGGGTCTAGATGAGATTTAAAGAATAGAGAATAATCCAGATAATGTGCACAATAAATAAAGAAAATAGACAAATAGACAAAATAATAAAGAATTAATGGGGTGTTAAATTATAAGAAATACAGAAAAATGGCCGTACAGTGACCTATAGTTGTTAATTTCTGTGTCATTTGGTCTCTTGTGGAGAGTTATCTCATTAGCAATTATACCACTTGTCTTTTTACATATAAAAAAATGTAAAGAAAGAAACGAAGGACCCTCCATCCAGACCCTGAGATAGGAAAGGTAGTTTTGTGAAATGATTCATTTTTAAAAATAGTTTATACAGCCTATATAGGGAAATGTTCTTTACT